CTGTTTGCTTTGGTCCTTTTGTTTTGCTGATTGTTTTTTCCTTTTGTTTTGGTTGCAGCTCAAATCGCTGGGGTTCTCATACGACTGGGACCGTGAACTTTCAACAACAGAGCCAGACTATTATAAATGGACACAATGGATCTTTCTTCAGCTTTATAAGAGAGGTTTGGCATATCAGGTAAAGAATTTCATAGTCTAGTTCACAATTTTAAACTGTGCATTTGTGTGTGGAAAAGTTCTTTGAAAAAGCTCTCTTTGTTGTAAATTCAGGCTGAAGTACCTGTGAATTGGTGCCCGGCTCTTGGTACTGTTTTGGCCAATGAGGAAGTGGTGGATGGTGTTAGTGAGCGTGGCGGCCACCCGGTGATAAGAAAGGTAATATCATTTGCCATCTGGGAATATTAGTACAGTGACATTGTTTGCTCCTCTGTTTTGAAACTTCGCATGGATTTTACAGTGACATTGTTTATTACCAAGCAGCCGATGAGGCAATGGATGCTGAAGATTACTGCGTACGCTGATCGTCTTCTAGAAGATTTGGACGAGCTTGAGTGGCCTGAAAGTATAAAAGAAATGCAAAGAAACTGGATAGGAAGATCCGAAGGAGCTGAATTGAATTTTTCAATTCTTGATGGGGAAGGCCGAGAAACTGACAAAAAGATTACAGTTTACACCACCAGACCAGATACCCTTTTTGGAGCAACGTATGTCAACAGACTAAATTATAATTTATGATTCAAATTTCAAAATCCTTGATCTTGATTGTGTTATATAATAGTTTCGTCATTTTGCAGTTACATGGTTGTGGCACCAGAGCATCACTTGCTGTCTTACTTTGTAACCGAAGAACATAAACAACAAGTCAGTCTTGTTCTTCTCTTTTGATTATACAATATGTCTTTCATGGATTTCATGACTCCTTCCATATGGTTGCAGGTTGAGGAATACAAAGATTTTGCGTCTAGGAAAAGTGATCTTGAGAGAACAGAACTTCAGAAGGAAAAGACAGGCGTATTTACGGGATGCTATGCAAAAAATCCAGCTAATGGGGATGCTATTCCCATATGGGTAGCTGATTATGTTCTAGCAAGGTAAGTTCGGCCTAACGCTTTACATTGCTTTGAGTAGCATTTGTGTGAAACAGAGAACTTTGTTATACGTGACAGTTACGGAACTGGAGCAATCATGGCGGTCCCAGCTCATGATACTCGGGATAATGAGTTTGCGTTGAAGTATAATATTCCAATCAAGTGGGTAGTGACAAATGAGGCAAGTTCAAGTGATGATGCTAAGCAGGTTTATCCTGGATTGGGCAGAATCGAAAATTCATCAAGTTTAGAAACAGGACTTGACATTAATCAACTATCTAGCAAAGAAGCTGCTTTAAAAGTTATTGAATGGGCCGAGAGAACCGGAAATGGAAAGAAGAAGGTTCATCTTCATGTCATCGTCATTTGGATTACATAAAGCTTTTGTTCTTGTTTCTTACTTAAAAGGTTTTTTTTTGGGCAGGTAAATTATAAGCTGAGGGATTGGCTGTTTGCACGGCAGCGTTACTGGGGTGAACCTATCCCGATCTTAATTTTGGATGAATCTGGTGAAACTATTGCAGTTTCAGAATCTGAACTGCCACTCACTTTGCCTGAGTTAAATGATTTCACTCCCACTGGAACAGGGGAACCACCATTGTCAAAAGCAGTTTCATGGGTATCTTTTGCAGTTAATATGATTAGCTTCTCGATAGTGCAAATGCTCGATGGACATTTGGGTTATGGTCGATGACTTTGCAGGTGAACACCGTAGATCCTGCAACAGGAAAACCTGCCAAAAGAGAAACAAGCACTATGCCACAATGGGCTGGGTCTTGCTGGTAAATGTTTATTTATAAGCTCTTTACACTTCTTGATTCTTGTATATAATACAGAAAATGTATCTCCACTTGAAAAACCTTGATGCTCTCTACTAGTGATGGTTCTAGGATAGGGTAAGCAGAAATTGGTTGATCTAGAACGTTGTTGAGTTTCATACTGAGAAACTAAACCAAATTATCTGATTTTATACGATTGTTGATTCATGATAATCTCTTTATCGCCAGGTACTATCTGAGATTCATGGACCCGAAAAACCCTGAAGCATTAGTTGACAAAGAAAAAGAAAAGTGAGAGCCTTTAAACAGAATGCAATAATTCCACATTCCTATTAAGTAAAACATTGTTGCTTTTTTGGAAGATTCTCAAGTGTTATTCTTGTGGCAGATACTGGAGCCCAGTAGATGTATACGTCGGTGGTGCTGAACATGCTGTTTTACACTTACTGTACTCTAGGTTTTGGCACAAGGTGTGTCCTTTTGAGACCTCCCTATCCTTAAAATATCTCGTGATCTAATCGCAAATCCTGTTACTGCATCATCGCAGGTACTTTATGACATTGGTGTAGTGTCGACAAAAGAACCCTTCAAGTGCGTTATAAATCAAGGAATCATCCTTGGAGAGGTAAGTTTGTCTTTTCCCCGCCCTTCTTACAAAAATATACAAATTCTGTTTGAATCTTTTTTTTTCTGATAGTTGTAAGTTGCAGGTCCAGTATACAGCTTGGAAAGACCAAGAAGGAAATTATGTATCTGCAGATACTGAAGAACGGTTAAATGAACATCAGCAAGTGACAATCCCGGAAGAAAAAGTATGAATCTTCTTTTCTCATTCACTAGCTAATAGCGATATGAATCTTATGAGTTATAATAACCTTATGATCTTTAATGTTATAGGTTATGAAGTCTGGAGATCATTTTGTTCTGAAAGAAGATCCTTGCATTCGTCTGATTCCACGCGCTTATAAAATGAGCAAAAGTAGAGGAAATGTCGTAAATCCTGATGATGTTGTGTTAGAGTATGGTGCAGATTCTCTACGTTTGTATGAGATGTTCATGGGACCGTTCAGGTAAAATTTTAATTCCAAATTTGTCTTTTAAGGTTTCAACGTTTTCTCTGCATTTATCTTGCTGCATTTTCCTTCTACTAGGGATTCAAAAACTTGGAACACAAGTGGGATCGAAGGCGTGCATCGTTTTTTGGCAAGAACATGGAGACTAATCATCGGTTCGCCTCAATCTGACGGATCTTTCAAAGATGGAACCGTAGTGTCTGATGATGAACCGACACTTGAACAAATCCGTTCTCTCCATAAATGCATAGCTAAGGTCATTTCATCATCCAATGAGATCCATTTGTGGTTTGGTTACTTCCTACTTAAGGTAGATGTGAAAAATTTGCAGGTGACAGAGGAAATCGAGAGTACAAGATTCAACACGGGGATTTCAGGGATGATGGAGTTTGTTAATGCAGCATATAAGGTTTAATCTTAGACTCTTTAACTAATCAACTTCGTTTTTTCCGTTTTCAAGCACTACTGATTTTTACTCTTGTTTCTTCTCACGTTTAACAGTGGAATAATCAACCTAGAGGAATCATTGAGCCTTTTGTTCTTTTGCTCTCACCTTATGCGCCTCACATGGCTGAAGAGCTTTGGTCACGGTTAGGCCATCCAAATTCTCTGGCCTATGAAAGCTTCCCTAAGGTACACAGCCAGTAAACTGTACATAATCATATAAACACAACGGAGGAAACTGTTTTTATGACATTGACTGTTTTGGTCTTTATGCAGGCAAATCCGGATTACTTGAAGGACACAACTATTGTTCTTCCGGTTCAGATAAACGGCAAGACAAGAGGCACCATAGAGGTTAAAGAAGGATGTTCTGAAGATGATGCTTTCGCTTTAGCGTCACAGGACAAGAAACTCGAGAAATATCTAGACGGACAATCTATCAAGAAGAGAATCTATGTACCCGGGAAGATCCTCAATGTTATCCTAGACCGGACTAATGTCAAGGTCACTACTAAGTAGGGGCTTGAAAAGAAACACTTTCTGAACCTGTCAAATGGACAACATTTCACCTTGTGCTAACTCAAAATCTCTATTGAAGAGTTTCAGATATATTTGAAACAATAAAAGATTTTACTGATTCTTAGAGAACATCAGAGGAAACAACGTGAGTTTCTTCTTTCCATCCGTTTTGCCGAGCTCGAAGCTCCCACATGTAAGACAGTCTTCTCTGTTCGTCTAGAGTTGCCTCTGCTTTCTCTCTTGCTAGCTCACAAGTCTCCATCCCCATGCTGCACTTATCAGCCTCTTTCTGATATTGAGATGTCGCTTTCTTAGCATCTAGCAATAACCTGTCTGCTCGCCATTCGTCTTCTTGAGCTTGTGCTTCTCTTAGCTTCAGCTCTTCAGCCACCATTTCCGTGAAACTGCTCTCGTTTTCTTCACCCGCTTCCTCGTGTCTCATACAATCTTGATAATGAAACAAGAACCAACATAATGCTCATGAATTCTGCAACATTTTAGCTTTTATACTAACTCTATATGAAAAGGTATTACCAGAAAGCACTCACCCAAGAAGCTATGATTGCTCAATCCTGCAGAGGAAACAATGAATCAAACACATCAATAATCGCTTTTTTTGTATTACCTTCAATAGAAGAAAAGAAGAATGATGATGATTACCGTCGGGGATGGAGAGGAGAGGCTGAGAAGAACAGTCACAGAGACAAGGAGGACAAGAGGAGTGGAGAGAGTCTGCAAAGGTCTCGTTGAGATGCCAATACAGAGACGGTCCTGCGATGTAAGCAACGATGCACAGTCCCATTACCCCCGTAACCACCTTCGCTGTCTTCTTCTGCCTTCTTGTCATCTCTCTCTGTTTCTATCTCTCTGCAAATTAAATATTTCTTCACTTTTCTTTGAATCTGAGAAGATTCTCCAGAAACTGATCTCCTTGAAATCTCCCCCAAGTATTGGATCCTTCCTAACTTCTCGTTTTAATTTGATCCTATTTTTAGCAATCCTCTGCAAATATAAATTATTTAACTATATAATTTACATAATATGTATGTATGCAATGGAATAATAAACTATGGGTATTGAGTAATGTATGTTTTACATTATTGGATTTGCTTCATTTCCTTGCTAAGAAGTTTCAACACAGACACAGTCTCATCTGACTGTGAAGTATGATTCATGAAGAACGTTGTGATTCTCCCGTTCACTTCGACTTTGCTCCATCCCGGGAGCTTTTTCAAGCCGAGAGACCTCATTTGATTCCACGATTCACTTACGTCGTCCCATCTCTTCATCGAGGCAAAAGAATGTGCAAGCCTAACGTAATGTCCAGCGTCTACTGGCTTCAACTCGATCATATCCAAACAAATTATATCTTCGAGCTCTGTTTTCCCATTTGCACGACAAGCATCAAGTATTATACCCAAGACATCGATTGATGGTTTTGTAAAGCTCTCTTTGTAGAACTTAAACGCCTCTTCTACTCTTTTAGCTCGACATAGAAGATCGACCACGCAAGCAAGGTGTTCGTGATTCGGTTCAACACCAAAATCTCTAACCATTGAACTGAAAATTCTCAAACCGGGCTGAACCATTCCGTTATGGCTACAAGATGAGAGAACTGCTAGAAAAAACACGTGGTTTGGCTCCATTCCAGAGCGAAGAAACTCTGAGTAAATTTCCAAAGCAATGTCCCCTTTACCATGGAAACCATACCCTGCAATGAGTGTGCCCCATGAGACAAAATCTTTCTGCGAGATCGAATCGAAACAGCTCTGTGCAGCTTCCAAGTAGCCACACTTCGCATACATATCAACCAGAGCCGTATCAACCAATGTACACGGACTGATAAAGCTTCTGATTACAATACAGTGCATCAGTCTTCCTACCGGGAGAGCTCCAGTGGATGAACAGGCTTGTAAAAGGGAGACAACCGTCAATGAATCAACTCGTTGCGAGGTTTTAAACTTCATTTCTTTAAACAATAACAAGGCCTTACACAAATCTCCGTTCTGGGCATATCCGGAGATAATTGCATTCCAAGAAACCAAGTCTCTTTCATTCATCCGTTCAAAAAGAGCTAAACTTTTGTCCAGATGCCCGCACTTTGCATACATTGTGATCAGAGAATTCAACGCAGGAGTGTCTAGTGTATGTCCTTTCCTCAGTACATAACCATGAACCGAAGAGCCGAGATCAAAAGAACACAATTGAGCACAAGCTGCTACAACACTAGCTATTGCCTCACTCGATAGGTCTGATCCTGAATCTAACATTTCTGAGAAAACAATCAGAGCCTTTTCCGCTCTACCTAGCCGCACAAGTCCTGACACCATGACTGTCCAGCAAACAACATCCTTATCGGGAATGGTTTCGAATACTCGAAACGAAGCTTCCTCCTCTCCGCACTTTAAGTACATAGTCATCAATGCCGTCCTGAGATGCATGTCTGCATCGAAACCAGTATTTACAATTTGGCAGTGTATCATTCTTCCCATGATAAGATCACACATTGTTCCACTGACGGAAAGTGAAGCTCCAAATGTCTGCTGATCTGGTCTTAAACCATCATCTCTCATTCTGTACAAAAGCTTCAAAATTTCAGTCATATTACCAACAATTGCAAATCCTGAAACCATTGTGTTCCATGAAACCATATCACGTTGCTCCATCTGATCAAATAAATCCTTAGCATCTAAGACACGACCAAACTTGCAGTACAAATTCAACAAAGAGTTCATCGCAGCTATATCACAATTAAACCCATAAACCACCGCAAAGGCATGAAGACACTGTAATTGCACAATCTCCGAAACACCACTCAGCATTTCCAACAACGTAACCGGACCCGGTTTAACCCCCTGATATCTCATCTCGTTAACCAAAGAAAACACCTCTCCAACAAACCCGGCGCGTGAGTAACAACCGATCATTGTAGTCCAGTGTACCACATCCCTCTCACGCATTTCGTCGAATAGTTTCCGAGCATGACCCAAGATCCCAAATTTCGCGTAGAGATTGACCAGTGAAGACGAGGTGTAGCAATCAGAAGAGAACCCATTGACGAGAACTTGCTGGTGAATCGAGAGACCGAAAGATAGGAGCTGAAGAGAAGCACAGGCTTTGAGAAGACTAGGGAAAGTAAATGCGTCTGGTTGGAATCTATTAGCGAGCATGGAAGAGAATGTGGAGAGCACTTGAAGGTGATCGCCATGAGATGAGAAATGGTTGATGAGAGAGTTGAAGGTCTTGGTAGAGTTTAGCAGAGAAGAAGGTTTGCTCATAGCTCCATGGTTATGATCGAACCAGGAACAATGAAAACGACTGTATTTCCAATCTTACCTTTACAAACTTTTGAATAACTTTTAAGTAAACGAACTGGTAATAAAAACGTTTTTTAGCGGATTGAACAAAAAATTAAAAAATACTAGAATTAGATAAGTAATATTGGTAATTTGGGTAATTGAAAACCAGTACCCAAAAAAGAAGAAAAAATTCCATTAACTTTTGGTAATAAACCCCCTTAGCGTTATGGTGTAAAAGTTACCAATAAGTTTGTTATAACTTTTATTGCGACCAATCAAACCGTCCTAAATTCGTTGCTGTTGCCAAATTCAAGTGAATTTGTGACATAAAATTCGATTGAATTTGATTGAGCAAACCTTCTTCTCTGCTAAACTCTACCAAGACCTTCTTCTCTTCGAATTTTATGTCACAAATTCGTTGCTTTTGTCAATTTATTCAGCCACATTAAGACTAAATTGGTCACTGGTCATTGGTCAACGCAGAAGCAATTCCATCTGTCTTTCGGCTTAGCTTTTAATTTGTTGTACATCTGATTACCTTTATTCATATGTTTATAATAGTTTTACTTATCGATATTGTAGACCTTTAGATTCAAAAAAAAAAATAAACAAGATATTGTAGACCAAGTTAATACTTTATTGCCAAATCATTTTCTAATTTTCATGAGTCATGTCATGAATCGTTGACATGCTTCCTTCGGCGTTCAATTTGCGGCATAAAGAAATGGAAACAAACAATCAAATCTCCAATGTATATTATTTTTTTATAAAATAGTCATATTTAATACTTTATGTCCAATATACTTTTCTTAGGAATCATTAGGTCTTAGATTCAGTGTTCAACCAGTGCAAAACAATTTTTAGAATAATCAGCCTATTGAATATTGATAACAAAACTGAATTTGTCGGGGAACGCTAAGAAACTAACTTTACTAGCATAATATAATATAAGTATCAAATACCACATTATGAATTGAGCTGATAGATAATCTTGATCGAGGTTCCATTGGCTTAATTATTACATTATAGGGTTTATTTAGGTTTCAGATTTATATTAAAATACTAAGAATATCGTAAATATAATTTATTTGAGTATTAATTACGAATTACCATTACATTTTCAAACACCAAATTGACGAATTTACGATTGATACCAAAAAAAAAATGTGGAGCATTTAAGTTGGATATAGGTAGAGTTGGATCAAACCTCTCAAAATTTTTATTTTAGTTTTGTATCAAGAGGTCCGAATTTTCTAGATCAGTGATCAAAATTTTTATTTTCTAGCATCAATAATACTAGATCAGGGTAATCGACAATGATATTTCGACCACATTTATTTTCAATAAGCAGTGAGATGGTCTTTTCATTCATACTATAGTATAGGAATATAAGAATAACAAGAGGACATGAAATGAAATTTTCTTGTTCGTTAAATGATATCATGGTTTGTACTAACTTTTCATTTGGTTTTTGAAAAAAATGATATTTAAAAGAGTTGCCTTTATAAAGATAGTAGTTTATTTGTTAGAGCAAAAATAATAATTTATTTGCGACCAATGTATTAATCAAAACGTTAGCAGCTGTATTCTTTGACTATTCATAATGCTTAACAACTATTCTTCCAAGACATCTAGAAATTATTTTGCAAATACGTACACATACAAAATATTAAAACTGCTACATAGTTTTTAATTCGCTGTAGCTATCTCAATTGTTAAACGCAATATTAAGTTATTAACTCAGACTTGAGACTTGTAGTCACTTTGACGAACGAGTATAAACGTTAGTAACCACACAATTGGTTTTTTTTTTTTTTTTTGCCGGCACACACATTATTGTTTAGATGCCTGCAATCATACGACTGTTGTGATTTTATTATCGGCCAAAAATCGGGTTTATAAATGCACTTAATTTTTCTTTATTTATTAAGATGTCTACCGAAACGAATCGAATCCAAAACCCTCAAAGGCAAACACAAGGGAACCATTAGACCATAAGCCATTGAGCATGTTATTGTTGGTTACTTAATAAATCCCACATATGTTAGCTTGTTTGTAACCTATAAAAACGTATGCATGATCCTAAATATATACTTTATATAGATGTATCTTTAAGTATTGTAAAAAAACAAATATGATTGTTTGGAATTAATATGATTGTCAAAAATTATTAAATAAGTATATTCTTTTAGTTGGTGAAATGTTGGTTAATTTTATAGTTACACAAAAGAACATATAAAGTGGGGGAAAAAGAACTAACTTTCCATACGACTCGTAAACTGGTTTGGAATTTAATCTGATATTGAGATTCACTGAAGAAAAACGAGTCAAAATGTGAAAACGAACGGTTTTTTTTTTTTTTTTTGGCGAGAGGACATTTTGTTTTCTAAGAATTATAAAGAGACAAATCTTCGTTTCTTAAGGCTAAGAAGTCAAAGAGTGACCGGGTCCCATGGTGTGATAGTCAACAAGTTTACCGGTAAACATAAGTTTATTTATAGAAAACTAGTGGGACCTACAACCGGTCACCGGTCAGAACTACATTTATGAGTCTGTGAGGTATATCCCACTCTTATCCCATTAATCTCCTTGACTTAGCTCAACCATTGTCTATTTTGTATTATTTAATTTGATGTGTTGAAATATTAAAATGACGTAGAAAAAGAAACTATATGCCAACCTAATATTAATGAAAGTCACGATATATTAAAAGGCGTAGTAAATTAGTATTAATCTTCTGTTCTGAACTATTTGATGTTTTGAAATTTTTTTATTTTTAAATAATTGATATTTTTATTTTTTTTAATATAAAAAATTAACTGATTTTTCTTGTTTTTGACATTTTATATTTTATAAATTATTCTTTTTATTAATTTTTTAATATGTGTGTAAAAATTTTAAACATCAAATAATTCAGAACAAAAATAATAATATTAAATCTAAAATAATTATAAAAGCGTTTGAAATCACATATATCTTTTACTATTTCCAGATTTGTTTTAACAGTTTTAGAATTGTATATAATTTAGGATAATTTCTTTAAAGTTCAGTTTCTATATTAATAATATATTGATATGTCAACAACTAACAATAATTGATAATTTCATATCAGAATTTATCAACGGAATTAAACAAAATTTCGTACATGTTTAAGTTTATGTGATTTAATATTTAACCGGCATTAAATAGACATAAAATGTCTAATAATTTCAATCACGTGGCTAGCGCCTATTGAATTGCCACCGGTGATATTCATTTCTATTTTCTGATCTATTAAAATTCTATGAACCAGTCAAAAGTCATATGTCTTTTAGAAAAAAAAAACTCAAAAGGGGAAAAGAAAAATAAATTTAAAGAAAATATACTAATTTAGTCCATAATAACAATTCGTCGAAGAAACTTACGCTCTAATAATAGTTTTTTCCTCTCATATATATATATATATATATATATATACATATTGACTTGATCAACCAAGGATTCAAAGTTTTACTAATTAGGACAAAGTCTTTGAACAAATTTTGTAGATCAAAGTGCTTTTTTTAGAAAATAAATACTAGGTGAGATTTTTCAGTAGAGTAGATTGGTCAAAATTATAGATACATATATATATATATATTTAAAATATAATCCACTATAACTGAACCCTTTATACAAAAATAATAGTAGGCTCGTTATTTTACCAATTTAAAAATATACAAGATCTCCAATAAAAAATTAAAGTTGTCTGATCATTCTATCATTTAATCTTATTTTTACTTTTCTTTCATTTTATGTAGTTAGACATGGATTCTTAAGAAGTTTTATCGAGATAACAATTTTCCGTTCACAAAGAATGGAGTATCACTCAAAAATTAACAACATACCCTATTTGGGTCAATTTACGTAGATTAAACTAGGATTGTGATACTATAGTCAGTTTCATTATTTTTAAACTCAAAACTAATTAATTAAAAAAATAAATGAACTAGTATACATTAATTACATATTATTTTATGTTTTGTCTCATTTCCAAAATAGATGTCTAACTTTTGTCAATCCTAACCTAGTATCTAAGAGTTGTAAACACACTTATATGACAATAATTCCGTACTCGACGAATCAACGCAGTTTTTAGGAAGGACAGAAAAACAGAAACCAGTATAAAAAGTAAGAAAATAAAAATCTATAAAACGACTTTAGTAAACCATATATAGCATCTCCTGTAAGCATCAGTAAATTTTAGTTTTTGCGAATTGTTTTATCAAACCAAAAGATACAGCAAGAACAAGTCCGCAATATAAAACAAAATGGTTGGGTCGCATGAAATGAGGGTTTGATATATTTGTTATTACTTATTTGATGTGGGTCAATGGCTAGATGTTAGACAAATGACGTCAACAATGACGCAAAATTTACCAAAACAAATCTCCACAAATATCCTTCCACGAGAATCCAAATTAAAACACATTATAGGTCAATACAAAAATATTGTCTTTAAATAATAATATTGATTATTAAACAAGACGAAAAAGTTAATACTATATTAGTCGAAAAAATTGACAATATCTGAGTCCACATCAATACCCTTTTTATAGCCGAAGCATCTGGTTCGGTAAGAAGGTCTCTCTCTCTTTCTCTATCCTCGTCTCTAACCACATACTCGACAAAGTATCTCTCTTCTAAGATATCTTCTTCTTACCATCCCTATATATGGAGGATTAGATATCGTACAGTACAATCACACACACACACACACACTCACAGAGTACGGATTAGATACGTACCTTTTTTGTCCTTCAAGTAACAAACCATATCCTCTCTTGTACGTTCACTAGGGTTTCGGAATTTGGATAACAAACATAAGATCACCCGTACTTATTCTTGAAACTAAAACAAAATCTTAAGTTTATCTATCAAGAACTTAAGATATCTATATTTAGAGACATGTTTCGTTTTCCGGTGAGTCTTGGAGGTCCGCATGACATTACAAAGCAGCCACAGCCGTCGGATGAGCATCATCGGGCGGTGATGGATGAGGTTGACTTTTTTAAGTCGGAGAAGAGAGATGAGCAGAATATTATCACCGACGAGACTCATAGGGTTCATGTCAAAAGGGAGAATTCACGTGTTGATGATGATGATGATCGTTCAACGGGTATCAATGTAAGTAGTTTAATTTTAATTAATCTTATTTGTTTTTTCTTACCATCGCATAATTTATTTTTCCAGGATTCAGTAATGTAATTTAAACAATATAGATGAAAACTATGTTCCTCCAATTGTTAGCAAAAAAAAGAGAAGATTTGTTGCTTAAAATTTATGTATTTATTGCAAATTAGACTGGACTTAATCTTCTCACTGCGAATACGGGAAGCGACGGGTCAATGGTGGATGATGGATTGTCTGTGGATATGGAAGAGAAACGTACAAAGTGTGAGGTACACTTATTATATTGGTGGCTAATTTTTTTTTCTAATTAAAAAAAAAGTAATGAAAATCGGAAACCAAAATTATGTAAACTCAATTAGACTACTAAAACAAAAAAATTTCTTCTTTTGGTTCCAATTACTGAAATTAAATGCAAATTTTCCATCTGAAAACATCAAAACGTCTATATTTCAAGAATCAATACAAGCAAATAAAATGTCAAAATCATGAAAATGGTATATATATTTATCTTAAATCTTCACGAGACTAATTTTATTCTTATTTTTTGACAGTTCATTTTCACTTTCCTCGTATTTAATCTGTGAAATCGACTATTTCTCACTTCTTTTATTAATCTCCAGATCACTTTTTATACTAAAAGTTATGGTACTATATTGTTTAATGTTTTATATATATATATATATATATATATTTTTTTTTTTTTAAAAAAAAAAAAAAACTTTCTTCTTTTATTTCCTTCTTTTGCCTTCCCAAATGGGATGACATTTTGAACAACTGACCAAATGTTTTCTATATTTATTTGCTTATTTAACTAGTCTGATCGCTGTGTTTAATAAAATGAAGAATGCACAACTTCGAGAGGAGCTAAAGAAGGCGGCTGAAGAGACACAAAGACTAAAGGAAATGCTAAGTCAAACAACCAACAACTTCAACTCCTTGCAGATGCAACTTGTTGCTGTCATGAGGCAACAAGAAGATCATAACCATCACCTGGTAATTAACATTTTCATCTATCTCAATCTTTGATTTAACCAACATTTTGTAGGTAACAAATATTTTTTTTTTTTAAACTCTTGTTTTCATCGATCAGGCTACGACCGAGAGCAAAGACAAGGCCAATAAACGACATGAAGGGCCTGAAATGGTTCCAAGACAGTTCATCGATTTGGGACTGCCTTCTGCTGATGTATCGTCCGAGGAGAGGACGACGGTTAGGTCAGGATCTCCGCTTCTGGAGAATTCTAGCTCACGTCAGCGCGGAAAGAGAATACTTGAGAGAGAAGAAAGCCCAGAGACAGAATCTAACGGCTGGGGAAACCCTAACAAAGTTTCCAAACACAACGCGTCCTCCAGCAATTGCAACGGCAATGTCAATGGCAATGTTGTTGATCAGTCGGCTGCTGAAGCCACCATGCGTAAAGCCCGTGTATCGGTCCGTGCTCGATGCGAAGCTCCCATGGTAACAATAGTCTTACTTCCCAAGCTACTCTAGTGTTTAAAGATTAATGATCTATTCAAATTTGTAGGAGGTTAATATTAACTTCAGTGAGATTGTTTTACAGCTAAACGATGGATGTCAATGGAGAAAATACGGACAGAAAATGGCAAAAGGAAACCCTTGCCCTCGAGCTTATTATCGCTGCACAATGGCCGTTGGAAGATGTCCCGTTCGCAAGCAAGTACGTTCTTTAACCTGCTTTCAAAACATCTAATCTTTTTTTAGGGTTTAACCAAATGTACAAATATATACGTATTTCTTGTAACTAAGTATATAATGACTCAACAGGTTCAACGTTGCGCAGAGGACAGATCCATTCTCATAACAACCTACGAAGGAAACCATAACCATCCATTACCTCCTGCGGCTATGAGCATGGCTTCAACCACAACCGCAGCAGCAAGCATGCTCCTCTCAGGCTCCACAATGTCGAGCCAAGAACGTTTAATGAACCCAACAAATCTCTTGGCTCGAACCATGTTGCCTTGTTCCTCAAGCATGGCCACCATCTCAGCCTCTGCACCATTCCCAACCATTACATTAGACCTCACAGAATCAGCATCGAACGTTAACAATCCCACTAGTAACAATCCGTTGATGAACCAATCGGTTTTGCCTCACATGATGGGCCAGGCTTTGTATTATAGCCAACAACAACAGTCCAAGTTCTCGGGTTTACAGCTACCGTCTCAGTCGCTGAACGCTGGCGAGAGCGTTAGTGCCGCTACTGCTGCTATCGCCGCCAATCCAAACTTTGCAGCGGCTCTAGCCGCAGCTATCACGTCTATTATTAACGGTTCGAATGGTCACCAGAGTGGGAACAGTAACAGCAGTAATAATAATGTTACGACGAGCAATGTTGACAGGCAATAACGTTTTGTTATATGTTTTAGGGCTTCTTTTTAATCGGTCGATTTTGTTTTGCTTTTTCTTCTTTTTACATTTTGGATCGTAGTTACGTACGGCTTTATAGTTTTTTTTTATTATTATTATTTCCCGAACAACAAGAGTCTTGAGAGCAATTTTTTTCTCGTTGCTGTATGGTCTACAATATTGTTCAGGAATATAAACTGCCTTTTTCAAGGTAATTAATTTCTTATAAAGTCAAGTGGATTTTTGTAGCAGTTCTGTAAAAATTGATCAGGTTATATATATATATATATATATATATATATATATATATAAAACATCCAAAAATAGAGGAGTTGCATATAATTTAGTGATTTGTGCTAACACTATCAATTGTCATAGTATTATTATTCAAATTTTATTTTGACGGTCATTATCCTGATTTCTTAGAAAGTAAAAAAAATGAGCCTAAGCCTAAATTGAATCCAAATCAAATGGCACGATGGTAGCTTTAAGAGCATCAGCAACGATGATACTTAGCCCATTTTGCATCGATGCTTAGCTAAAAAAAAATGAAAAAAGTAATTAAAATGAAGAAGCATGCTTATTTGAGACCCATAAACATCGATGCTTATTGAATTTAATAATATTTAATAGCTAAGCATCCCAAAATCAAATGCTCTAAGTAATTTGATTCGAATCTTTTTGCTTGTTCTCCTCTAAGGCTCAATAAAAACCCTTCGTGTTTTTGCTGAGATATATTTGCAATCACACAATTTGATATTAATAGCATTCTGACGACAAAAATGAAAAAGAAAAAGAAATAGCATTCCAATTTTATAGCTCTTTTGGTTTGAAATGCAATTGAGAAATTGCAATTATCTAATAATAACGTATTCAGTTTTATTATAAAGTAAGACATACATTTTTTAATAACATTCGTAGCCAGTATCAGACATCCTATATGAGCTTTATATGCTTACACTAATTTTACTAGAATTTGTTACAATCGCTTTTATTTCGCTAATAAATTATAAGGCAATGGACTTTTTATAGATGGTTCAAAGCGTGGGAATTACATTGTACACTACAGGGGTCAGAGTGAAAACTACGGAAACATATAGGGGTTAAGTGGGCAAATATGAAAAAGTGAAGCTTTAACGAAACGTTGTTTGCGTTTATAGGTCCCACACAGTGTCAACAACGTGAGGGCGTTTGCTTGTGACACAAATCAAAGCAACCTTATATTTTCCATTTGCAGCAAACACCAATCAAACAATCCATCTATTATTTATCTGTTTATTTATTTATTTATTTTTGCAAATATTAAAACTCTGTTTTTACCATCTAACATTTTTCTCTATGAAAATTCCAGAGGTTAATGTACATATAAAATCTTTTGAAGAATTTCTTCTATAATGTGTTTATATGGAGTACGTAAATAGAAATGTCGAATCTGTAGTATTATTAGGGCGAAGAAGTTAATTTAAAGAGTCGTTACTGGAACAAAAGGTATTGCTAAGCTGGACTCACGCATGGGTTCATCAACGTGAAGCTTACCTAATGCGAGACAAACATACATCAGCGACAGCGAATATTGCAAGCATCAATTACCCATTCTTTTTGTTGTCAGCTCATTAATCACCCATTCATATGTATATTTGATAACTCACCCATTCGTAATTCCAAATAAGAAATAAATAAATATTTTATTCACAACAGCATTTTTTTTTCAACAACATGTTTTTTTTCTTCCTTTTTAACGAATTAAAATCCGGAGATCGAGTGACACATCATCAACACTAATATATTATATAAATAGAAAAACATCAACACCAACATAAACTACTATGCTGTATACTCTCGTAGTCATATTTTTCTATTTATACATCATATTAAAAAAATGATTTTCTTATATTAGTTTTTTTTTTACAAATTTGATTTTTTTTTTCAATTTTTTTTTGGTATTAAATTTGATATGTTTATATTATAGAATTAAAATAGGAAAACCATTTATGACATAAGACAATTTTTTCCCTTTTTATATATAATTTCCTTTTGAAATTCATTTTAAATTTTTATTTTTACCGTTATTTCACTTATCTTTCTATTTTTATTTACTTTTAATTAATTATTACCCACACAATATTTTAGCTTTAAAGAAAATATTCATATTTGTAGAAATAATTAAGATATAGAGAATCTAATTGAGTAAAAGATATTAAATACAACAAGATTCTTCCTCTCTTTTTTTTGGTTAAAGGGTTTTCAGTTAAAGGTTTTTGTAAGTTCTTCCTTACACACTTAGAATATAATTGAATGATCTTGATGATCAGGAAAACACTGCATATAAATATTTTAACCTTCGACTAAAAAAGAAAATATATTAACCTAAAAGATATAATTAATAAGTCATAACTATCTAGTCTCACCATCAAAACTATCCACGAGTTTGTGCAAAAATGTTATTTGACTTTAAAATAGTATACTAGAAATATATTACAGCGGTGAAGAGTGATGCAAATGAACACAAGCACTTTTTCCATCTAAAAAAAAAGAAATAACTGTTTTAGTTGCTAATCTGTCCGGGCCTACGCAAACAAGGTTACATAAACGTGACGCTTGCTTATGAATTTAATACACAATTAAAATAATTAATACCTAAAAAAAATTTCCATTTGCAAGCAACACGTAATAATTAATTGAGACGAAATTTTTTGTCTCTATAATTTCTTCAAGTGTCTCTTTTAAGTTATTTACGTATAAATATAAATCCCTGCAACATTCTTCTTCGTCTCGTTTAACTTGGATTTTTCTTTTTTTTTTCCTAGTTCAAGAATCTCTGCTGTACAGACATTTTCTTGGTGAGTGTTCTTTTACTCCTCCAAATTTCCCCCCTCAAGTCATTCAATTTCTGTCTGTGAATAGTAAAAGCTCACTTTCTGATTTTTTTCTTTGGGGCTTTCCTTTGATTCTTCACTTTTAGAATTGTTTGAATGGAACTAATTTGATGTTTGTTTAATTCTGGTGTGGGATTCATGTCGGACTTAGTCTTAACCTTTTTTATTTTTACAGTTGAGGGATTACTTAATCAACAATATTAAACTTTGGCTTGTTCTAAGTCTTCACTATAGTTTTGAGAAAAGAAGTAATATATAAGACTAGTTCAAAATTTGGTAAATCAGAAATTCAGTGTAAACTTTTATTGATTGGTGTAGTAAAGTTCATGCTGGAGTTATGAACAAAAGCAGTTTCAGTGTATTAACTTCTTCTTCACTTTTTTTTTTGATCAGTGTGTATTAACCTTTTTTAATGTTTATACCTTAATTTTGTATACTTTAAAAAGTCCAAGGATTTGTGGATTCACGGATCTTGAATCTTGGATCTTTTATTTAAAGAATCGCTTTAGAAGATGATTTAAGGTTATCTGAATAGGACTCCTAAATATCTGATTTGTAAGAAGTAATGCATATAAGAATGTTTCAATTCCCAAAATCTCTAATTTAACTGTTGCATATTAGAACAGTAACAACTAAGTTTTTATGTGGCTGCTCATTGATGTGAAATTGTTAGTTGATGACAGGTAAAAAAATGGGAACTCGGTTCCACTCCTTGCTCTTGTTCTTGCTTTCATGTTTAATCCTTATATCCGCCGCCTCGCATGAGAAACAAGGTGACGGGACGCTTAGAATTGCATTGAAGAAGAGTAAGCTAGACCGGGCCAATAGGCTAGCTTCTGAGCTTTTCTTGAAAAACCGAGGAGCGTCTTGGTCTTTCAAAGATTATCTTCGCCTGAGCGATGGAAATTCGGATATTGTTCCCCTGAAAAACTATTTGGATGCTCAATACTATGGTGACATTACCATTGGTACTCCACCTCAGAAGTTCACTGCCATCTTTGATACAGGAAGCTCAAATCTCTGGATACCATCTAGTCAATGTTACTTATCGGTAAGCATCAGTGGTTAATTTGTTCTTTGGAATGCAAACTAAATGTGGACAAAACATATTATCTCTGGTTAACGTTTTTTCTTTTCTTTTCAGGTTGCTTGCTATTTTCATACGAAGTACAAGGCTAGCCAGTCATCAACATACAAAAAGAACGGTTTGTTCTCTATATATATTCATCTTGTTGTTTGATTCTTGAGCTTTGGTACTTTGATAACCCTTCAAGAAATGGTTAACTTTTTAGCCTCTCCGGTCTCCTGATATGTTTCCATATAGTTTTTGACACTAAAAGCTATTGATATAACAGGAAAACCTGCGTCGATCCGCTATGGAACAGGTGCTATTTCGGGTTACTTTAGCAATGATGATGTTAAAGTTGGTGATCTTGTTATCAAGGATCAGGTAATTAAACCCGGTTCAGCCACTTTCATATTTCAGTTTCTTGAGAGTTCTACTTTTTGCCATATCTTATACTGCTATGTCTATATATCACCACAGGAATTCATAGAGGCTACTAGTGAGCCTGGTATTACATTCTTGGTGGCAAAGTTTGATGGTATCCTTGGGTTGGGTTTCAAAGAGATTGCTGTAGGAAATTCAACTCCGGTTTGGTATGAAAACACTTGCATCATTTGATCCTTCATCTGATAAAAAAACTTTGTTGTTGTACCATCTGAATTCTGAGTGATTAATTTATATAATGTGATATATAGGTATAATATGGTAGACAAGGGTCTGGTTAAGGAACCGATTTTTTCGTTCTGGCTTAACCGTAACCCGCAAGATCCAGCAGGTGGTGAGATTGTTTTTGGAGGACTCGACCCTAAGCATTTCATTGGAGAGCATACTTATGTTCCAGTAACACATAAAGGTTACTGGCAATTCGACATGGGTGATCTCAACATTGCTGGCAAACCAACCGGTAAGTATAAGCTTTTGTCAGAAATGGATGAGTCTTTAGATATAATTTGACACTTGCATATCCATTTTGTTCAGGATACTGTGCTCAAGGTTGTTCTGCCATTGCTGATTCCGGAACTTCTCTGCTCACCGGTCCATCGGTTAGAGACAAATTTTGCTGAAAGACTTGGTCAATTGTTCACTATTTAGCACTTGAAACATGCTGAATGTTTTGTTTTGGTTTTTGTATATCTAGACTGTCATCACAATGATCAATCACGCCATTGGAGCAGTAGGAGTCGCAAGCCAGGAGTGCAAAGCCGTAGTAGGTCAATACGGAAAAACCATGTTGAATTCCCTTCTATCTCAGGTTGAAGTTACTTCTCATACCAAAACATACACACTTATCTATTTATAAACAATACAATCTTTTGATTCTGCATCATTTGACTTAACAGACGGATCCAAGGAAGGTATGCTCGCAGATAGGGCTCTGCGGTTATGATGGCGCACACAGTGTGAGGTTAGTAGTCCAGGAAAAATAAGGAAATCTCTGGTCATCATTAGACAAGCAAACTTTATACTAATTCATGTTTGCATGTAGTATGGGGATTAGGTCAGTCATAGAAAATGGAACATCGGATCTTCTAAACGAAGCCATGTGCAACGCCTGTGAAATGGCAGCCGTGTGGATGCAGAGCGAATTGACTCAGAACCAAACACAAGAACGCATACTCTCTTATGCTGCTGAGGTAAGTTTTGAGAGATTCTTGAAGCCCTTGTTATGGACATAAACATGTTAAAACTCTAATCTCTTTATAATCTTTTAGCTCTGTGACCATATACCAAACCCAAATCAACAATCAGCAGTGAACTGTGAAAAGGTTTCGTCGATGCCTATAGTCACATTCACAATTGGTGGCAAAAGCTTTGATCTCTCCCCTCAAGATGTAACTACCCTCATCACTATCTCCTAAAAGTTCAGCTTACCAATATCATCACAAGGAGTTTAAGTTAAAGTCTTTTCCAATTTTTTTTGTGGGTCAGTATATATTCAAGATTGGGGATGGAGTTCAAGCTCAGTGCACCAGTGGTTTCACCGCCATGGATATCCCTCCACCCCGTGGACCTCTCTGGTAACTCTCATCTCAAAAAGCTAAACTACTAACCACAAAAACTCAAATGGGTTTACTGAAATTTTTGTAAAATGCAGGATCTTGGGTGATATCTTCATGGGACCATACCACACTGTGTTTGATTACGGGAAAGCAAGAGTTGGATTCGCCAAAGCTGCTTAAAAAAATGATCTCATCTTTAATACCCTTTTTTATATGATGTTTGTGAATGTGTTTTAGATAAAATCTTAAATGGTTGTAATAATTTAAAAACATTGCTATCCTAGAATGGTATCATCATAATACAGATTTTTATTTGGTTGCAGCTCTTTAATTTATTTAACTTACAGAGTACTAAGATTATAACGAGTCTCAATGATTGAGTTCTCTCTCGATCGATGTGTCTCCCTAATCACTTAGCCTTCGCTAAAGCCAGTGTCATTGACCTCGCTCGCAGGGTCAGGAAAATTCCCCTGAAAAAAACAAAAGAAGAAGAAGAATGTTCAGAATACGAAGAAGTTTAAAATAGAGTAACAACAACAAGAATGGAAACATTGATAGAGAAAATTCTTTACGTTTTCAGGAAAGAAGAAAACATTCTAAAACCAAGTTAACTATCACTTTCATGCATTCAGATCCAGATAATACTTTGTGATGTATAGACAATCGAGATATTTGAATTTTCAGCTTTGATCATGGTTTGGTTGGTTTCGTATTATTGTCTTACCAAAAGAATGCGACGAGGCTGTGCAAGATGACCCGGAAATGCAGTGGCACATACTTGAAGTTTATCCATCCCACGATCGGGAAAAACTGTTCACAATACATTGAATCAAATGAGCAGACATAAAACCTGTAAAGGCACTTGTGAATCAAACTATTTCTAACAAAAGACATGAACTAAATTGATGATATCTATCACTTACCGTCCATGCTGTAAGCTGGACAGTCGGGTAAGTTTTCTTGATCCTGTCTCTAACAAGATTCCAGGGAGTTCCTGTTTCATTCAACATTGCAGAACTGTTATCAAAACTCTTAATACCTTTCACGACATTTCGTGGGTTTACAAATAGAGTGAGAAGATAAAAGGAACTTACTTTCGATGACTACTCCATAGTATATCATGAAAAGTAAATGGTTCAATGGTGACAGTGTCAGCTGTTCCACGACTACCTACCAAACGTTTTACATTTCAAACAGATCAACTTATAAACATCGATTGATCTTTAATATACAAATCATCGAAAGGTATTGGAAAGTTACCTTCTTAGCAACAGTCTTTGTGTCCTTTTTCCCTTGGAAAAACTTATCTAGAGTTGTATGAAAGAAATGCCCCGCCGGTGCAATAAAACCACCAGCAAATATCTGTTGGAGAAAGGCGAATAGAACTCAATGGTATGCAGTTTTTTCAAGAAACCCCTCTTGAGGTTATCATTGGCATTAAAGATTGAGGTTCCTAGAGAAAAGAAAGATTCAAACTTTTTTACCACTTTGAGAAGAACCCTTCTCAGCTGAATCTTCTGTATGCCAGAGAGTTTCTGTGAAACAACATCACCAACACCGGACATTACTCCAGCAGTAATTGCCTGCAATTCGCACACATTTTGACACCAAACTCATTTCAGTGAGAGACAAAAAAAATCCAGGAATCCTAAAATCATTTCCCAGAAATTTTTCTATTCATTAAAAAAATAAAGTCAACGAGCTACTTTCACAAGGAGATTCGCTGAGTTAATCAGATCATCAATCTGGGTTTGGTTAAAAAAACACAACCTTTCAACAGAAAACACCATTTTCGTCTCTCAATCGATGAAACAAAACCCTAATTTCAAAAGAAACGAACCTACCACCAAACTACAACTCAACGATCAATGACTTCCCCAGAGAAAAATTATTCATCTTTAAATCCCAAAGAAGCAGAAGATTAAAAGAAAAAAGAAAGATTAAACCTTTGTTCTTAACGGATGTTGCTGAAGTTGTGACAAGTACCGTTGCAGAGCCGTCTTCTTCGGTGGCGATCCCATTTCTCAGATTCTTCTTCTCTTTTTGATTTTCTCACTAGTGTCTGTGTCTCTCTGATCGCTTTTGGTCGTTGTACCACATTTCCTACAAACAAAACCGAACCGGTTCGATCCAACAAATAAAATAAAATTAAAACCGATTTGGTTGAGTTCGGTTTAAGAGGGTTAAAGACTCGTTCTACGAGGATGGCGGGTAAAATTGGGAGGCTTTCGGTTTAGACCAAAACCGCCACAAGAGAAACAATCAAAGCCTGAGAATTATTGGTCTTTGGTCAAAATTCAATTCTTATTCTCTCTTTGGTCAATTCAATTCCTTTAATTTTCTATTCTTGTTCTATGCTTTTCTGCCTATCATCAAAAACCCATAAATACAGCTAGCAGCATTTCTCTTCATTCATCATCTTCATCTACTTCATCAAACACAATCACAAAACTTCATAGAGAGGTTAAGAAACCAACGTAACCAAACCAATAAAGAACCGATTTAAACCGAGTCAAAGGAGAAATCAAATTACTATTTCTTTTCTTGTATACATCAATGGCTTCGTTGCAGGCTTCAAGATTAGTTCTTTCGTCTTCTTCTTCTTGCTCTAGACCTAAAGCCGGAGTCTCCATTCCGAAGTTGCCGAAATTTAACGTCTCAGTTCCGAAAATACCGATAAAGAAACAGACTTTATCGGTTAAAGAACCGAGCTTTGAATTAGATGGGTTCATAGAAAGTCTACCTCTTTCGCTGAAACAGAGGAGAGACTCTGATTCTATCCAAAGGGCACGCCTCAATGTGGTTCTTGAAGAAGTTATGGATAGGATTGAGATGCACAAGAACATCGGAGATCAACGCAACAATTGGAACTCTCTATTGCTCAATTCCGTCAACATGATCACTCTCACCGCCGCTTTAATGGCCGGAATAGCTTCGGTTAACGGTCACGGTGGAGATTCTGTAACGGCCGTGAAGATAGCTTCAACGGTTTTGCTAACTTCTGCCACAGGTATCGCTGCCTTGATGAGCAAGATTCAACCGTCGCAGCTCGCTGAAGAACAGAGGAACGCGACGAGGCTGTTCAAGAAGCTGAGAATCGAAATCGAGAAGTTTCTAAGAGAAAACGAGGAAATCAACCAAGAAGATGTGAAGGAAGCGATACAGAGAGTGTTGTCTCTAGACAAAGCTTACCCTCTCCCTCTAATCGGAACAATGCTGGAGAAATTTCCGGAAGAGTTTAAACCAGCGACTTGGTGGCCTGAAAACAAACAGAGAAACCCTAAATCCGGTCTTACAAACGGGTGGAGTCAAGAGCTGGAGATGGAGATGAGAGAAGTGGGTCGTGTGGTTAAGAGCAGAGACGCAGAAGAGTATGAGAAATTAGGTAACGTGGCATTGAAGTTAAACCGGTTCTTAGCCATCTCTGGACCAGTTTTAACCGGAGTTTCTGCAGTGAGTTCTGTTTTTATCGGTCAAGATTCCGGTTTAGCTGGGATTGTGGCGATGACTTGTGCGTCTTTGGCTGCGATTGTGAACACTTTAGAGCATGGTGGTCAAGTGGGAATGGTGTTCGAGATGTACAGAAACTCTGCTGGATTCTTCTCTTTGTTAGAAGAAACGATGAATTCGACAGAGAAGAGAGAGAACGGACAAGTGTTTGAGACAAGGGTTGCGTTGAAGCTAGGGAGAAGCTTGTCCGAGCTGAGAGATCTCGCGAAGAAATCGAAACTCTCTCAGGTTAAGGCCAATGAATTCGCAAGCAAGCTTTTCTAGGTTTTATATATAGAGATAAATTCCATTGATTTGTATAGATAAATTCATTCATTCTTTGATTTATTTGTCACAACTACTAGGGATTAAGATGATTTATGATATAATTAAGATGACATCACAGGCATAATATGACATCACAAGCATAAGATGACCATGCAAACATGAACGTGTACCACCACCAGGAAAATAGAAGCATATTCTAACATGAACTAGTAGAGAAACACATTTATGTCAAAGTAGAGTAAAATGTAGTTAATCAAAAATCTAATTTATTTAATATATCTTGGATTCAAATAATCAACGAAAATAGTTATAAAATAATAGCTTGACTAATGGCACATATGATCAAAGATATGGATTAGTCATTCATATCGATCATTTTCAATGCTCAGATTCCTCAGATATCTGACTTGAGTGGTAAAGAGTAGTTGGGATGATGTCGAAACCCTGGACATAGATTCTAACTCTCTCATCATCTTCTCTTTATCTTTAAGCTTGCAGGCTGGTTCCACGGAAATTCCAGCTCTCTTTAAACACTTAGCGTTGGCAAATATGTATCTTATGGCTTCTTTTTCCTCCCTTCTTCCTATATATCCTTCCCACTCAAAGATTTCAAGATGGGTTGATAAACATCCGGGAACAGAACCCGGTTCGTTCCATGAAAGTGAGAAATCCTCCGCAAGTCTAATGAATTTCTGTGTAGCAACAACAAAAGGGTACAATAAACACACTGCTTTTATCTAATCCATCGATCAAACTGTCATGAGAGAAACTACAAACCTGGTCGATGTAAAGATTCTTCAGATTAGGAGAATTCTGAAGGAACCCCATTAGTGATTCCAACCAGTCTAACTCATACAAAAGACCAATCGTACACTCCATAAGATGAGAGAAGTTAAAAGTGTTACACCATGTAACCTATAATGAACGCAACAACACATAAGTAGACGCTAGAAATATAATCATAACGAATAACAAGAAAAAGAGTGAGGTTGAAAGAGCACTACATACATACCGTTGCAACGCTCAAGCCTAGTTCGAGATACATGACTGAGGAAAGAGATCTCTTAAACTTTTCATCAATCAAGGTAACAAAAACCGTAGAACATTGCTTTCTCAAGACGGAGCTTGTTCTCAAAAACGCAAGAATCTCTCGAAAAATCCTTCCAGTAGATCATCTTTAAAGCCGGGCAATCTATAACCAAAGATCCTTTAATACCTTCGTGGTGTACTCCTAATTTCTTATTCTCATATATTAAGATCTCCAAAGATGGGACTTTTATATGGAACTTTGTAACGTTGTCATGGTGATATCGTTTCACGGTCAAATATGCTAGAACAACTCCATAAAAGCCTAACAAGAGAATCTTCATCTTTATACACCACAGAGATAAGGTTCAGAGTTTTGAGGGATGGGAGGCAAGCCGAGGAAGGAACATCAACGAGAATCTTGTCGCAAAGAGATAGCAAGACAAGCGTATCACATGTGTAAAGGCTCTTACACACGCTAGCAGGCCCCGCAGACCACATGAGCTTGATCCCTAGCTGGCGCACTTTACGATCAACCGCAGTCGCAATCCACCTTTCCACATAAACATCAAGATCAACCGGACATGGACATTGAGGACCGATTCCTATCACCAATGTTTCCAACACAGGTGCCTTGTGTAGTTGTAATGACTCATCGATATACCGCCATATAGGTTGTTTTTGTTGATCACTTTTGACAAATAAACCGCCAATGTGAGTATATTTGTCCAGATACGTGAGATTTGGCAACATCGTCCATATATACCGCCATCGTTTTGACAAAATCATAGTCGCCATTGCATGTTTCGTTGGGACAAACGACAATATATGCACGAGCAAATCATCAGGCAACGCACTAATCTTGTCTTCACCTTCAATTTTCAGACAACTTTTGGCTCTTTTCTTCAAAAATCGTTGCGACGTTTGTTGTAAATAGTATTGATATCGCATATGCAACTTGCATTGAGCTGAAAATTAACAAAAGCCGTCCGAGCATCTTTTGATCTTTACTACCTGAAACTAAACCAACGTTATGTTAATATTTTTCTATTCTATTGTTTAATTTTCTAAATATAAATGGAAAATTATATCATAATTATTTAAAAAATTATTCTTACGATAATTTTAAATCTTTACAAAAATCAAGATAAATTTAAATTTTCTATTTTTATTTTATTTAGTAACTTGATTAGGATTATGTTATAAATAAGTAATTTATCTATATACTTATTTCACCGTCTTTCGCTTACGTGTCAACTCCAGAATCAGTTTCGGCTGCAAAAAGATCGTTTAACCCTATTTTTCAGTTACATATTATTTTTTAATTGGTTCTTATCTGATGACGTGTAAAAAAACTTAAAACAAACCGGTCTAAATTATTATGGTTTAATGTTTAATTTTATTGTCAAATCAAACTGTTTTTAAAATTTTAGAAAACCAAAATTTTAAAAATAATCTAACAAAAAAAAATCGTTAAAAAAAAATCATCTCTAACTAATGGAATGTAGCTTATTTTTATAGTGATTTTCTTAGGTGTTGGTTCCACAGCGAGTTTCAGAATGTTTTGTTTACGTGTCATCTCCAGAATGAGTTTCAGGTGTAAAAACCCCTTTTAACCTTATTTTTAATTACATGTAAATTTTTTATTGGTTGTTATCTGATGATGTGTTAAAATAACTTAAAACAAACCGCTCTAAATTATTGTGGTTTAATGCTTCATTCCATTGTCAATCAAACCGTTTCTAAAATTTTATAAAACCAAAATTTAGTAAAAATCTTACAAAAAAAAATCAATAAATAGTCGAATGGAATGACGGTATTTGTGATGCATGTCTAGATTAAGGTTTTTGACTTCAAATATTTTAGTATAAATATATAGTACTTTCTTCTAATTCTCTCACACATTTTTAAATTGTTTAACCTCTACTTTTTATTCGAATAAGTTCGTACAGTAGTTAAAAAACTATGTCTAAAATACATAAAACAATGATCAAAATCGAATAATTTCGTACGGTATTTCAAAAAATTATGTCTAAAATACATAGATCAGTACGCAAAAGATCTCAAAACTATTTAAACTAAATTAGTTGGATACTATATGTTTTTATCTATTATCTTCCACACTGTTTTCACAATCATGTCTTCAAACTTTTAAAATGCAAGAAAATCTAACAAACAAAAATCTAACAAACAAATATACTCAACAAGAGAGAATAAAAAACAAATGAATCCAAACTACTATTAGATTTTCAAACAATCAAATAAAAAAATAAATCAGGCAGTGAAAAGTTCACTAATTTATTTTTAAACATAAAATAATTGTAAAACATGTCCGATTTTTATGCTTCCTATTTATTTGCTTTACTAATTAACAAAGTCTAAAGTATCTCCGAAACCAATCTCCCTCAGGAATTGGGATTTTGGATGCTACTTCCTTTTCTGCGGCAATTTCAGATGCTACTTCTTAACGACATCGTTCAGTACACAAGTTTATCAAAGACCGGTTAAAAAAAATTACCCTTGGGAGAAAACGTTAGGGTTGGGTTTTCTCGTTTCTGGCTTACAATCATGCTGGTCTATATAGAAACCCTGACCAGCTAATGTTCCAGGCTATTAACCGGGTCATTGTGAAATGTGAATGATTAGCAGATGTGTGCAGAATTTTAAGCAAATAACAGATAAATTTGAATTTTTTAACGGTTTTACTCTCTTCGAGATTAACAATTTCATACGGCGCATATTATTCGGATCTAAGCTGAGGGAACTTAATGTTAAAAGTTTTAAGCTAAAGGTTTATACTAGTATAAAAGTCTAAGAGGTTTAAAGTGTTTCTAGTTGCAACTTTCAAAGTTTTTTATGGAATTTTTCGGCTATCAATGCAGAGTTCCGAGTTTTGAAGTTTTCTACAGGATGTGGCCGCTTCACGGCGCCATGGATGTGACTGCTGCTTCATGGTTAGGCAAACCAACAACACTCCAACAACACTCTTGTTTTTATATTTCGTGCACCATTTAATATACAAGCATGAAAATTACGTTGGAAATTCATTCTTTCTTTGATTTATTTGTACCAGCTAATTCATTTTACTTGTAATTACAAAGATATTTACCTTTTGATAGAAACTTCAACGAGAATTTTGAGCATAAGTTAAGCTGAAGGAGGTGAGATAATCCAAAGCAAGGACTGCTCTAAAAGAGCTTAATGAGATGGATAACAGAAATAAAAAAATGATATAGCTCATGAAGAGATTTATTGTTCAAGAACATAAGGAAAAAGGAATGTTAATTCAGGAACACTAAGAGCTAAACGATTTGAGAGCATTATCATAATTCATAAGATATCAGATATGAAATACTTGAGTTGCTTTGCGGCACTTTCAAATGTTACAATCAAAAGTCTCATGAATATTTATACTAATAATCTATTGGTTAGGAACCCTAACACAAGGATTAGACTTGGTGCATTACAATCGGCTTGTTGTATCAGTGATGGTTTAATAATTTTAACGAATTGAATCATCAAACTGCTGAACTAAAATAACAGAATTGGAATCTAATATAAACCGATTGGTACTAAAATTTTCACACAAAAAAAACTAACCCAAATACAGTACGTGTAATCCAATTTTTTTTTTTTTGGTCAAAGTGTAATCCAATTTTTAAATACATTATTTTCTATTAAGATATACATAAGATAACTATAATTGATATATTAAATGAATTAAAAATAATTATTTACTAAATTAAAAACAAAATCGAACTGATCTGAAATAAAACTAAACCGAATTCTGTCAATATCCACCTCAAACAGTTCACAAGAACTTTCTTCCATCTCACGCTATCCAAAACTAAAGTTTCTTTACTGAATGCATATGAGGTTAAGCTGTCTCCTATAATATTTACCGAGGATACAAGACAGTGATAGAAACCTCGTCCACTGAAAACGCAGAACCTTTGTCTTTAGACTTATTCGAGGATCTAGTTGCAAGTTTCACCGAGAGAGGGACAGTGACGAAAGCAGCTTCTGTAGGTTTAGGTATTGTCAAACTACCGTCTCTTGCAAGCCAAACTAAGACAGAGTTCATAGTTGGTCTCTTTGCTGCATTTTCTTGAACACACAACAAACCAATCTGAATCAACTTTATGATCTCATTTATTGGATGTTCACTTAAGTAAGGATCGATTATACTCTCAGGCTGTCCTTCAACCCATCTCTTCCATGCCTGAATAAAAAGAATTTTTGTTTTTATACTTTTGTTTACAAAAATTGAGAGGATAAACAAAAATCAAAATATTATCAAGAAGCTTACAAAAGCTGGAAGTCCTTCTGCTTCAAAGTTCTTGTTTCTTTCACCACATATCATCTCCAAAAGCATAACGCCGAAGCTGTAAACATCAGATTTAGCTGAGAATTGCCCATGTCTCACATACTCCGGAGCCATATATCCGCTGCAAGAACCAAAAGCACATTAATGGTAATGCTGATCAAAGCATTTTTAATAGCAAAAAAGAATAGCATCCATGTCTAAAACAGAGCAGCCAAGTCTAAAAATTGAGCATTTCCAAGTCTAGAACAGAGCATTTATGTCTGAAACAGAGCATACTTACTAGGTTCCAACTACTCTGCTTGTCTCTCCTCGAGTCTCATCCATATTAAACAACCTCGCCATCCCAAAGTCTGCAACTTTAGGGTTCATCTCAGCATCTAAGAGAATATTACTCGCCTTCAAGTCTCTATGAATAATCCTCAGTTGCGAATCTTCGTGTAGATAAAGAAGTCCTCTTGCAACTCCTTCTATGATTCTGTACCTCAAATCCCACGTAAGAACCCAACGTTTGTCTTCATCTACAGATTTTCGCAAAGAACGTTTTTGTCTCTAGTCTGAATCTGATAATAGTATTATAACGGAATATAGATTATATCGGTTCTTTTACGAAGGCTTACCGAAGATAAAGTGATCAAGACTTGAATTAGGGACATGCTCGTAAACAAGAATCTCTTCATCTCCTTCATTACAGAATCCAAGAAGCTTAACTAGATTCCTATGCTGGAGTCTTGTCAAGAGTAAGACCTCATTCTTAAACTCCAAATCTCCTTGTCCTGAACCTCCAGCTAATCTCTTTACAGCTATCTCTTGTCCGCTTGGTAAAATCCCCTGAAACCGGTATAAGATCATTGACCGGCCCACATCAAGATTTTGATAAGATATTTACAAGTTTTTATTTTTAAGTGGTTACCTTATAGACAGATCCAAATCCACCTTGTCCAAGTTTATTTTCCGGTGAGAACTCATCTGTTGCGATTAAGATCATGCCAAGATCAAATCTTAACATAGATTGACCATCAGAATCAGAATTTTCTGCACATATATGAAATCTTTTCACTTCAAAACAAACTCAAAAACTTTTCAAACGGTTACTCAAAAACCCTAAAACTTCACTCACTGTTGAGTCTAGCATAAATCCTCCTCCGCATCTGGCGATAAGCAAGTACGAAAGCAACAAACACGAAAATATTAATGACCGTAGGAAGGACAATAACCACAACGCTCCACGGTTGAAAATTTCTTCCTGAAAACTCCCCCAAAAAGTCAATCAAGATTTATGGAAATGAAGTCGATTAAACACTTCAGCAAAACATATTATCAATTTTAGCACCTTTCTTGATATGAGCATCTACAGGAGGAGGTCGAGGAGGCGCAGAAACTCTCATTAGATTATCGAATGCTCCTACAAAAGGGTATAAATCCCACCGGAAATAGCAACTAGGACGCGCAATCGTGCTTCCGGTTCTTCCCCAGTATTGTTCTAGATTATACCTAACATTCTCTCTCAGACAATATTTACAGTCACTAGAAGATAAATCAGGTGTGCATTGCATCAACATATAAATATCTTGAAAATCGGTAAACTCGGCACTTGAGACTCCATAGTACTTCAATGCTGAAGACTCATCAGCCGTGGATGCAACCTCGATTGTTCGATCAGCCATCGCACTAAACTCTTCGGTGAAACGGGTCAGATTCGAAGAGGGAAGACTCGTGTGAGGAGTATTCTCGAGTGGATCAAGCTTTAGTTTGCCAAATGTAGGGAGATTTGAGTACCGTACTAGACAAGAAACGTTTGCATCTTCTTCGGAATCCCAGTGATATGCTTCTGTTTTGCCTTGGCACTGTATCAAAAGATTCCTGCTTGTTCTTTCCACGCAACGACGACAATCTTGAACCAAGTAGTCTTTACGACAAAGGGCAAGAGCATAAACTCCACCTAGCGAAGCGTTATAAAAACCGCGTTGTGCGATAACGTTTGAGGCAAGAGAAGGCAAGAGAGTGTCGAGGCTTTCGCCATAAGTTGTGTTTTGAGAGAATGTTTCGTCGCCGCACAGGAGCTTAGTGTTAACGCCATTGATGGTTAAGAGAAGGAACAGAAGAAAACAAGGGAAGTGAAAGAGAACAGAATTTTCCATCTATAAATTCCAAAAATTGGACATCTAGTTATTAAAAACATTTAGTTTGGCTTTATATAAGGAAGAGTTGATTTGTAAAAGTTCTTTGAAAATCAAACAAGAATAGAGAAGATAATAGACTTTTCTACTGTCATATCGTTTTCACCAGTGAGAAATACCTTTTTAGAAACCCTGACTTTTATTAGTGACGTGAGGTGAAAGGAAGAGACTTTTCTCTATCACAACTTAAACCACACGTCGAAACACGTCATCGCACTTCACTGGTACCTCTATGTGACTTCAACATTAGATAAACCGACGTCGTTTCCAATTTTAAACACCATTGAAGACGACAAATGAATATGAATGGAGTCAAGGCCTACGTGATTCATCATTCATCTATAGAGTCAAATAATCACAAGACCATGGAAGTCAAATCAAAAGAAAAAACCATGAGATGGTTTCGTCGAAACTGATTAAAATTTTCATACATATAGCAATTACGTGTAAGATTGGAAGTCTACGGTGCTACCAAATCAGACAAATTGAAAAATAAATGGTAATGGAAACATAGATCTAATTAAAAGGTCTGTAAAGAACTTTAGTTATCATTAAGATTTTTTTGAGAAAAATGAAAACTAATGTAAGCTGAATTGTTTGGTATTTAGTCCGTAAGTGCATGCAATGTCTGCACAAGACTCAAACATTGGAAACAACGACATCGTCTCATATAAATAACTAAATGAACCGTCGTTAATCAAATGAATGCATTTGATTTTCATTAGTAATAACTTATATGTAAACTACATAAATAATTAAATAAACCATCGTCCGTTGTAAGTCAGTGAACGCATTTGATTTTCATTAGTAATAAATTATTTAATCCGTCAAATTAAACTTGATTTTCAACCAATTTTTCTTTGTTTTCTTCTCCAAATTCGATGATTCTTCGCTCTTCCCTCTTTATTTTTCTTAGTTTTCCAAAACAAAACCTCTCTTCTCTCTTCTCTTTATTTATTTTCTATCTTTATCTTAGATTTGCGTTAATAAACCTGATTCAATTTTAATTTAAGTTTCATTATATCTAAACTTTATCGATATAGTGAATGCTTCAAACATTCACTCACAAAAGAGACAATATGTAGAAGATGAAATTAGATGCATGTTTTTGACTATCCAATTTGCTGCAAACCACTCACCATTCCTATCTTTTAGATACTTTTTGTTGTTTTTTAAATATTGCATATTGTTGATACTTAGAGTAATTCGTTTTGTTGGATTAAATTGTGGATTGATAAGATGATGAATGAAATTAACCATGATCATGTAATTAGTAGTCATTTGTGTTACAAAAACTTGAGATCTTCATAGATGTTAAGGATTCAGTGTTAAAATTGTGGCTGGGTAATTGGATCTTAAAGATAGTTTAGAGCTACTAAAATTTACAGAGAAATTTTTTCATATTCTTTTTCTTGTAATTTAAAAGCTGCATATTGAGAAATTTTTATAAATTTTTATTTGTATTTATTCTCATGTAATTACTTTCACTTTCCACCATCCATTTTCATCATGTTCCTCCTTTACAATGGCTAATTGCATATAAAAATGATTATTTTATACCTGTAAGAAAAGACAATTTCATTATGTTTTGTATCAACCAATTCAAAATCGTCTTTTCCCACATATATAACATAACCATTTTTTATGTGCAATTAGCCATTAGCCATCGTAAATAAGGAACATGACAAAAACGGATAATCGAATGTAATTACTCGAGATAACACAAATAAAATCTTACAAAAATCTCTCAACTTGCAGCTTTCAAATTACAAAGAATAAACACAAATGAAATCTTAAAAAAATTTCTCAACTTGTAGCTTTCAAATTAAAAGAAGAAAAATATAAAAAATTTCAATCATCATCTTATCAATACACAGTTTAATCCAACAAAGCAAATTACTTGAAGAATAACCAATATACAGTATTCAAAAAATATTAAAATTTACCTGATATGAACAGCGAGTGGCTCGCAGTAAATTAGACGGTCAAGAACATCAAGATCAGCTATGGCGCACATCTATTTTCATCCTCTACATGTTGTTTCTACTGAGAGTGAATGTTTGAAGCACCCACCATATCAATAAAACTTAGATTTTAATAGAACTTAAATTGGAATTGAATCAGGTTTATTAACGTAAATCTAAGATGAAGATGGAAAATAAATAGAAAGAAGAGAGAAGAGGGATTTTTGTTTTGGAAAACTAAGAAGAAATGAAGAAAGAAGAGCTGAAGAGTCGTCAAATTTTGAAGAAGAAAACAAGAAAAAACTGATTGAAAATCAAGTTTAATTTGACGGATGAAATAACTAATTACTATTGAAAGTCAAATGCGTTCACGATTTATTAAATTATTCATTTAATTTTCATTTAATTTATTACTAATGAAAATCAAATGAATTCATTTGATTAACGACTGTTCACTTAGTTATTTTGTAACGTGTTGGATCAGGTAAAAGAAAACTGGAGTTTATGTACTCTCCATGGACCACACGACCAAGAAATCAATAAAACCAGAAGACTATTAGGGGTTTCAAAATGATTTTAAAATATTTCATATAGAAACTGCACGGAAATTACTGGTCTAAAAGAAAAAGAAAAAAAATGTTAGACAGAAGAATTGAACTGGATTAATTTTTGGTAATAAAATTATACAATGTTGAAAAGCTGATTTCAGTAAATTAACTACATTTCTAAGTTATATTTTCAATACATCTATTCTATTAAAACAGAAGCACTTTTTAGTGCTTCCTTCCAAACACTCCTAAAGTAAATATATATATTTTTTAAAAATTAATATCTTAATTTATTACAATATTATTTAAAAAAATATATTTTCTTTTATATAGAAATTTAATTTCGAAATATATAATAATTTAGATAACTAAAGATTTTTTTAAATATAGGTTATATTTAATTTAAAATTTAAATATTTTTAACTAATTTAATTCTGAAAAATAAATATTAACTAAAACTACTTTAGACTTTCTTAAATATATATCAGATTTAATTTAACATTTAAATTTAAATAATATTTTTAGAATAACAAATGATTAACGAATACTTTAATATATTTTTTAAGTCATATTTAATCAGACTAAAATTTTATATATTGAAAACTGATAAATATTAGTATTATATGGTATTTTGATGAGGTGGGTTATGTTGGTTTTTGTTTTATATTTGTGATCTTATACAGGTTAAGTTATCAAAATATGCAAGATATTAAGATAAAAATTATTTCAAAATTATATATATATATATTATACATATATATATATTATATTATATATAATAGTAATATGAACGAACGGGTTATAATTATTTTTATAACCAAAATATTTTTCTGATTAATAGAATAACTGAGTTAGAATTATGTTTTTATGATCATGGTCATAATAATACTAGAAAAAAATTTTAAAAAATTATATCTAAACACAAAAATAAATTTTTGTCACTTATTAGAAAAATTATATCTATAAAGAAAACATATATTACATTATAAATTTTGATTTTAAAAAATTTATGTGGGAATGCATAGGATAAAATCTAGTTTATGCTATTAAAAGAGATACACATTTGAACTCTGCAGAAAATATTTTTATCATTGCATTTAAACACTCCAACTTAAAAAAAAAATTGTTTGAAAACTGTTTTACTGTTAATCCAATATGTTTTAAGAAATAGAGATATATAAATTAAATTAATTATGTATTAAAAGAAATACATAATGAAACTCTGCATACAATATTTCAATCATTGCATACAAACACTCATACTTTAAAAAAAATCTGTTTGGAAACTGTTCTATTGTTAATCCAGTTTGTTTTAAAATTTATAAATATATATAAAATAAATTAATTCCAAATTTAGGATATTATATAAATTTAAGTATAATATCGTTTTAACATTTCAACAAAAGAATACCTATTTTGTAAATATATTTTTTTTTGTTGATTCCATAAATTAATAATTATAACAAATTCATTCTTATTAAAAAACCATTTCAATGTAATATGTTGTTTATGAATATCGTGTTCATTATTGGAAAAATATTAAACATATAATTTTTACTATGATACCACTTTTAAAATACCATTAAGGAATTATTTTTAAAAAATATCATTTATATAATCTCTTGTAGAATTTTTAACTTTTATAAATTAGTTTACGAACGTGGAATCTTTCTTTACCCAATGGTTGATCAATGATATTATAATATTTCAATACTAAGAGATTTGGGGTTTGCATCCTAAAAAGTATGATTTATTATTATTTATTCAGATTAATGAAGATAAATTTATAAAAAAAATTCAACATATTGCATGTAGAACTGATGGGCGTGGATGTTCATAATTTTTCATAAAATAATAAATTAATATTAAAAAATTGATTTACAAATATTTATAAATTTCTCTATTTTATAACCATCATATGAAATCTAAAAAATATGCTACCTCAAGGTTTTAAGTTCAACACGTACGTATCTCGTTTACTTGGTACGGTTCAACCAAGAAATCAGAATCCAGCAGTTTGATTTTTTTAACGTTGGATACAAAAGAAATCCAAACACTTTTTTTTTGAACATTCATCAATCAAGGGGGAAGACTACGTTGACTATTTGTAGTCTGGCATAAAAATATTTGACTAAAATCAACGTTTTATTAACTTTTAAATATTTAAACGATACACAAAACCTTTCAGATTTTAGACGTTAAATACTGGATAAAATACAAAAACATCTGTTTATTATTTAATCAAACCACTGTGTCTTACACCATTAGACCAAAAGTTTTACAAATTTTCAGGGCTAACAAATTGTGATAATATTTATATTTTAGGGCCATCAAGTTTGTTTTTTACTAAAACCTTGTGTCTAAAATATTTTAATACAATTTTATTGGCGCTGTTAATTAAATTGTAGTAGTTATTAATACATCAAATTAAACCAGATTTTTTCTCGTTACTTTTTTCTTCTCGAAATTTGAAGCATGTACAAATTAGATTTTTGTTTTCCAAATTTCTGGAAATTTTGGGTTTCCATCTTTGGATATCAAGTATCAACCATCCATTCTCTCATTCTTGGAAGTCAAGCAACAACGACCCTACCATGAAATATAAAGTAAAAACTCTATAAATTAATAATGTTGGGATTTTGATATTTTATTAATTTATAGAGCTATTAATTTATAGATTTCAAAAAAAAATATTTCTTATTTTTTATTAATTTTTAAATAGATTGTATAATTTTTAAAAAGTTCTTTCTAAAATTTAATATGAATTTATAAAAAATTTAATTTAAAATGAATAAAAAGCATCACTATACTTGTGTTTTAGTAGATTATCTCATGTATATGTTTAAATCAGATTTTGTTTATAATAATTATAATTTATGATATTAATGAGACCATATATTTACATAAAAGTTTTGTTAAAGTTATTATTTTATTATCTTATCGAATTGTGTTATATTTTGAACTGTCTCAACTCAAAACTATGAAATTTTTTTAATTTATAATATTTATTAATTTATTGAATATTAATTTATCGAATATTAATTTATAGATTTTCTACTATATCACCGCCGTATGAGATGGTTTTAAGCACATCTAGAATATAATAACAACTAATAATGCACATTTTCTGAGTCTTTGGAAGTCAAGCATGCTCGTTTTCTCTTCTCACCTATATAAATATAACAAAGCTCTAAATCAATAACGAAATAGTACAAGAAAAGAAAAAGAAAAAAAAAAGTTATCATAGATAAAGAAAAATGGGGAAATGCCCTGTTATGATGATCTTCCTAGCTTCTTCTCTCCTTCTTTTCCTTCAAACCCTCGAAGTTGTTAACGCCGACTTGTGTTTCGGGAGCTCCTTCAACGGCAACGGCAGCTACGCTCAGAATCGCCGCAAACTCTTCTCGAATCTTGCTAATAAAGTCGTTAGTAACGGCGGATTCTACTACGCTTCACTCGGCCAAAACCCAAACAGAGTTAACGCCATTGTCCTCTGCGCAAGAGGCTACAAGCGACAAGATTGTTTGAGTTGTGTCGAAACTTTGGCTCAGCTCACACAAAGTACTTGTCTAAACCGCACGGATTCCTTCATTTGGGGAAATAACAATGAAGACAGTGTTTCTTGTCTTGTACGTTCCTCAAACCGTTCAACTTTCGGAAACCTCGAGCTTAGACCTCATGCTACATCGCCACATGAAAATCGCATCGACCCATCTAGAAACATGACCCTTTTCATGCAAGAGTGGGAAGCAACGGTTAATCGGACCCTGGAGGCTGCCACAAAAGCTGATACTTCCTCGGTACATAAGTACTATAGTGCAGTAGAAGCCGGGTTCACGGAGTTTCCCAATGTTTACATGCTGATGCAATGCACACCCGACATAACTTCCGAAGAATGCAAGAGATGTTTGGGAGATTGCGTGACGTTCTATAGAAGACAGTATCGGGGAAGACAAGGAGGCATGGCTAGTTTTCCGAGCTGTTTTTTCAGGTGGGATCTATATACTTTCCATGGTGCGTTTGATAATGTCACAAGAGTTCCTGCGCCTCCTCGACCGCATGCACCAGAAATGGGGAGCTCTATAACTGACAAGAAAGGTAAGACAAATGAGTTATGGCATTGCCAATATTTGTAAGTATATGATAAAGAGGTTCTCAGACTAAAACTGGTTAATAATTTTCAGGAAGAAGCATATGGTATACGATAATTGTGGTTTTTACTTTCATCAATCTTTTGGTATTTATTGGTTTCTTCAAAGTCAATGCTCGGAGGAGAAAATTAAACAAAAGAATCAATGGTGAGTGTACCTTTGTTTCTTGCATCAATCAACCTGATGATATAGAGAATAAGACTTATTTACTTTTTCTTTATTATATAGTTGGAAGTGCAGAGTACTCTGATCCTGATGGTCAATTTATGTTACGGTTTGATCTTGATATGATCTTAATGGCAACCAATGACTTCTCGTCTGAAAATAAGCTTGGCCAAGGTGGATTTGGTACGGTCTATAAGGTAATAATAACTTTTGTTTTTCTCTTAATTATGAGTTCTTGATCAATCTTGGTCTTGGATGGGTAACAGATCTTGAGAACCGGTTTCAGGGGATATTACTAAACGGGATAGAGATAGCGGTGAAGAGATTAACAAGAGGTTCAGAAGAAGGAGGTATGGAGTTTAAGAATGAGGTTTCACTCTTGACAAGACTCCAACATAAGAATCTGGTTAAGCTGCTTGGTTTCTGTAATGAAGGCGATGAAGAGATTCTTGTCTACGAGTTTGTCCCCAACTCAAGTCTTGATCACTTTATCTTTGGTGAGACCTCGAAAGAACGCTGCATTTTGAATCGTTTTAGAAACTCTTAGCAATAAAAAGTTTCTTTGAAATCCGCAGATGAAGAGAAGCGTTCGCTTCTTACATGGGAGGTGAGGTTTAAAATTATAGAAGGCGTTGCTCGAGGTCTTGTTTATCTCCATGAAGATTCTCAGCTGAAGATTATTCACCGAGACTTGAAGGCTAGCAACATCCTTTTAGACGCTGAGATGAACCCTAAAGTTGCAGACTTTGGGACAGCAAGGTTGTTTGACACTGATGAGACTCGAGCTGAAACAAGACGAATTGCTGGAACCCGGTAAGAATATATAACTTAATTAACCATACACATAAATATGCTCACCATCTATTGGTTGCATACATGCAGTGGATATATGGCTCCTGAATACCTGAATCGCGGGCAAATCTCAGCTAAATCTGACGTTTATAGCTTCGGTGTTATGCTTCTAGAGATGATAAGTGGACAAAGAAACAATAGCTTCGAAGGAGAAGGACTTGCAGCTTTCGTAAGTTACTTCTTCACATATATATATATATATATATATAGTCTTCCTGATCCTTCCTTTTGTAACAATTAGAAAGTAAGAACATATCCCTTTTTTGGCTTAGGCATGGAAGAGATGGAGAGAAGGAAGGTCTGAGATTATAATTGATCCTTTCTTGGTGGAGAATCCGAGCAACGAGATCAATAAATTGATCCATATTGGTTTGTTGTGTGTTCAAGAGAATGCAACAAAGAGACCAACCATGAGCTCTGTAATAGTTTGGCTTGGCAGTGAGACTATCACCATTCCTTTACCTACGGCTCCTGCTTTCACATGGAATCAATCCCAATCTGAAGATGGTACAATGTCAATGAGCAATATCTTCACTGAGTTGAGTTCTCGTTGAGTTATAAATTTGTGTTAATCAATATATTGAAGAGAGTATTTAAGAGAGTATCTGTTTTAAAAGAGTATTACAACTATAAATAGATAATTTCTAAAACCCTCTACATAGAATATTTGCTAGTAACTATAATTGATAGATATTTTATTTACAATTTATTACGGTAATCTCTATGAATCTTAATACACCCTCTCAAGATAGACGCTCGTAGTGTAGACTAATCTTGGTACGCATGATGCTGAACCGTGACCGTTGGAGAGACTTTGTAAGACAATTTGCTAATTGATCACTCGATGAAATGTGGGCGACACTATTAAAAACTCGGCCCAAATTTGTTTCCGGCTTGTAATCGATAAATATTCAGGGTCGGCCATGTCCACAATTCATTTACGAGGTGACCAAATAGTCTACGCGCATAGGCATAGCTTACAAAAACAGTAGAATTGAACCTGGATGCAACGGGTTTACGCCTTTGGCCTTTGATCCAAACTAAATACGAAGCAAGAACGATAAGAATTGCAAACGATATGATTTTGTTTTGCATTGGCATTGTTAAGAGCTTCCTACTTACTTTATCGATGCAGCGAAAACAAGATTGAACTTCGTTAGTGTTTCCAACAAGAGCAAGAGCGTAAATTCTACCTGACAATGCGTTGTAGAAACGTCTTCTTTCATAACGTTTAAAGCAAGAGAAGGCAAGAGAGGTTCGAGGTTCTTGCCATAGGTTGTGTTTTGGAGAGAATTTTTCATCGCCAGAGAGGAAAGTAATGTGAAGTCTGGATTTTTCTATCTATATAAACAATTAACGTATGATTATTTTTTACCTTTGTTTTAGCATTTATATTTAAGATTTTAATTTGTAAAAATTATTTCGAAATCAAACAAGAATATAGAAAAGAAGAGGCTTTCCTAGTATCATATCGTTTTATTGTAAAAGCCCTCACTTTTTATAATGACGTAATGAGCAAGGAAAAGACTTTTCTTCCCTCTATTTCGCTTGACGTAAATGACATGGCAAACACTTCGTTGTCCTGGCTGAAAGGTCATAAATATTTACATCCTTTTAAAATCTGCTGCTTCCTTTGAAATAATGTTATATATGAACTGATAACAGTTAGCCCTGGAACGGAGTGGATATGGGGTACTTTTGAGAATGAGTAATCAACTAAGATCTGGGTAGTTGATAATTATTATAACTTTTTTGTAAATGATAATGATGTATAATCACATACAACTTAAGAAAATGTGTTCTTTAACTGAAAGGCAAATTAAAGTACTTTAATTTAACTATATGACAAATCAAATTACTATTTTCTTAGCCAATTTGTACCCATTTCCCACGTCATATACTAAAATGAAATGTCCAGTTGTAGAAAAAAAATTTAAGTTGAAATGTCTTACCAAAAACAATATTATGGGGAAAAGTTTCTTCCCACTATCCTCCAAATTATAATTATTTAACTGAGCTGCATGATTGCGCGCACATTAACAGAGAAGAACAATAGCCTACACTAAAAGATGTGTCTGTTTGTTTTCGTAGTAAATATGGATGAATTATGAGGAATAAGGATTTGTTTTATTTTTCTATCTCTTTCTTTCGTTCCATGAAATTTAAATTCCACTGCAGATCGAAGAGTGCTAGACTTTTCTTTTTGTGGTAAAAATGAGTGCTAGACTTTTATTAAATTTTGATCTAATTATGAACCACATAACTGATAATTAATTAAGGACATGTTATAAAGTTTTCCTTCTATTGACGAAAGTTTTTCTAAAATTAATTATTTTTTAGTAACATTCTACACTGCAATTCATATTCATATTTCATTGCAGCTGACCCTGGCAAAACTTATTAAATCCATACCCAAGCAGCCAACGACCAACGATCACATTTCTTTGACCAGAACAACAAAAAAGGACCAATAAACGAAGTCAAGCAATACTCGTTGTCTCATTTCACCTACATAAATATGAGTATATATATGACAAAGATCTAAAATAACGAAGTAGTACAAGAAAAGAAGAAAGTTGTTATCATTAATGTAAAAAAATGGGGAAATGCCCAGCTTTGATGATCTTCCTCACTTCTTCTCTTCTTCTTGTCCTTCAAAACCTTGAAGCCGTTAACGCCGTGGGGTGTGCCGGAAACTTCTTCAACGCTAACAGCAGCTACGTTCAGAACCGCGACAATCTCTTCTCTACTCTTGCTGATAAAGTCGTCGCCAATAATGGATTCTACAATGCTTCACTCGGCGAAATTCCCAACAGAGTTCACGCTCTTGTCTTCTGCGCAAGAGGCTACGAGCAACAATCTTGTATCAGTTGCGTCCAAAGCGCGACTCAAGAGATACAAACGAGTTGTCCAAATCGCATGGATTCGTTCAGGTGGGACAATGACGATGTAGACCATGTTTCTTGTCTTGTACGTTCCTCAAACCACTCAACTTTCTAGAGCCTCGAGCTTCGACCTGTTGTCATACACCCAAGTCCACTTAGTATCGAACCATCCAAGGACATGGCCCTTTTCAGTAAACAGTGGGAAGCAACGGTTAATCGGACTGTCCATGCTGCCACGGAAGCTGAAACTTCCTCGCTACTTCAGTACTATGGTGTTGTAGAAGCCGAGTTCACGGAATTTCCAAATGTATACATGCTGATGCAGTGCACGCCTGACATAACTTCCCTAGAGTGCAAGAGATGTTTGGAAAACTGCGTGTCATATTTTCAAAAACAGTTTTGGGGAAGACAAGGAGGCGAGGTTAGTCGTCCGAGCTGTGTTTTCAGGTGGGATCTATATTCTTTCGATGGTGCTTTTGAAAATGTAACAAGAGTCCCTGCGCCTCCTCGAAACCAGGCTCAGGCTCAGCCACCCGCAACGGGAAGTTCTATAAAAGACAAGAAAGGTATAACAAACAAATAAGTAAGAGCATCATCACAGTTTGTAGAATGATAGAGGGATCAGAAACAAAAAGTGTTAATAATTTGCAGGAGGAAGCATTAGGTATGGTGGAATTATCGCGATAACTGTGCCTACTTTCATTAATCTTTTGGTGTTTATTGGTCTCATCAAACTCTATGCTCGGAAGAGAAAATCAAACAACGGAATCAATGGTAAGTGTATGTGCCTTGTTTCTTGTTTCAGTCAGCCTTATGGTGTAAATAGTACTTTTTTCAGTTGGTAGGGCAGAGTACTCTGAGTCAGATGGTCAATTTATCCTACGGTTTGATCTTGATATAATCTTGATGGCAACCAATGACTTCTCGACTGAAAATAAGCTTGGCCAAGGTGGATTTGGCACGGTTCATAAGGTAGTAATAACCTTTTTTCTTCCTAATTAAGAGTTCCTGATCAATCTTGATCATAAATAATATATTTGATATTGAGAACCGGTTTCAGGGGACATTACCAACCGGTCAAGAGATAGCGGTGAAGAGATTAACAAAAGGTTCAGGACAAGGAGATGCAGAGTTTAAGAATGAAGTTTCACTATTGACAAGACTCCAACATAGGAATCTTGTTAAGCTTCTTGGGTTCTGTAATGAAGGAGACGAACAGGTTCTTGTCTACGAGTTTGTCCCCAACTCAAGTCTTGATCACTTTATCTTCGGTGAGGCTTCGAAAGACCTGTTTTTTTTTATAGTCTTAGAAAATCTTGTCAGTAAAAATGTGTATTTGAATTATGCAGATGAAGAGAAGAGTTCGCTTCTTACATGGGAGGTGAGATTCAAAATTATAGAAGGCGTTGCTCGAGGTCTTGTTTATCTCCATGAAGATTCTCAGCTGAAGATTATTCACCGAGACTTGAAGGCTAGCAACATCCTTTTAGATGCAGAGATGAACCCTAAAGTTGCAGACTTTGGGACCGCAAGGTTGTTTGACACTGATGAGACTCGAGCTGAAACAAAAAGAATAGCTGGAACCCGGTAAGAATATATCAATCAACTTTGAAGACAAGTAAATATGCTATCACCAGCAATTAACATTATTAGGTTCATATATGCAGTGGATATATGGCTCCTGAATACCTGAACCACGGGCAAATCTCAGCTAAATCTGACGTTTATAGCTTCGGTGTTATGCTTCTAGAAATGATAAGTGGTGAAAGAAACAATAGTTTCAAAGGAGAAGGACTTGCAGCTTTCGTAAGTTTCTTTCTTCTTGGTTCTTCCTTTTGAATCTTCAAACCTCTGTGGAAAGTAAGAACATTTTTTTTTTTTTTGGTTCAGGCATGGAAGAGATGGATTGAAGGAAGGCCTGAGATTATAATTGATCCTTTCTTGGTAAAGGATCCGAGTAACGAGATCATTAAATTGATCCAGATTGGTTTGTTGTGTGTTCAAGAAAATGCAACAAAGAGACCAACCATGAGCTCTGTCATACTTTGGCTTGGTAGTGAGACTATCACCATTCCTTCACCTAAGGCTCCTGCTTTCATTGGGAGTCAATCCCAATCCGAAGATGGTACAACGTCAATGAGCAATGTCTTCACGGAGTTGAGTTCTCGTTGAGTTATAAATTTTTTTTTTTGGAGAAAAGGCTAAGTTATAAATTTTTGTTAATCAATATGTTTGTTTTCATTTTTTAAGGCAGTAAAAAGTATTCTAATCTCTATACTAGTATTTAAGTAGGCATTTTAAAATAATGAACATTATCTTGGTAAAATATTACATAGTATGCTATTACAAATATAAAAAGATAACTGAAATAAGAAAAAACATAATTATATTTTAAAATTACTAAGGGAGTGTTATTCAATCATGGTTTTTAATAGAGTCTAAATCCATCCACAATCCATTGTTATTCAATAATTAATTTTAATTTCTCTATAAAAATTTAATGTTATTGGTTCATGTATTTAGAATCTCTTCATTAATAGAGTTTGAAATCCATTGTTATTCAATTAAAAAGTTGAATAAATCAATTAAAATCTTATGTTATTCATGTTTAACAGATTTTTACAACTGATTTTAGGGGAAAGATTTTAATTGAATTTAAACATAGTTTTATGTGTTAAATGTAGCAATCAAAATCCAACCTTTTACCCTCAGATTTTGATAATTATAAAATTTAACACAAATAATTATTCACCTCGATTTTTTCTGTCTTCCTTCTATATATTAATCAATCAAATATAATATTCTTTCATCCCTCCATTTTTTTTCTTTTCCCTCCATTTCTCTATTCCTCACACGTCTTATTTTTCCCCCAGTCAGTTATCTATTTCTCTCTTTTCCCTAGTACATATTTCTCTCCCTTCTCTCTCTCCATAAGTCATCAAAGAAAAGAAACACACTTTTAAGAGATCAAAGTTCACAACAAGTGAGATTTTTTTTAGGTATACATATGTGGTTTTAGATTGAACTTTTCTTTGAACTTTTTCTTTGAACTTTTTACTTTCAAAGTTTATTGAGAATTCTATTCTATTAGATTTTAAATGATAGCATGTGATTTTCTAAATACACTGCTAAATCATTTAAAATTTTAAACAACTCATATACATTAGATTCTAAATGAATTAAAAAAATTTAAAATCTGATCTACTCTAATCTAGTAGAGTTGATTTCAACATACATATTGAATAACACCCCCTAAATCAAATAAAGAAAGTATATGTTTTTCATTTATGAGATGATTATTATTTAATTTATTATTTATTATAATATTAAAACTAATATCTGTTTTAGATAATAATTAATTCATATATATATATATATATATTTTAAAACTCTATTCTGCATCTTTCAGTATTTTTACTATAATTTATTATGTTTATTTAAATATATAGAAAAATAAAAGTCCATCTCGTGAATTTTTACTAACTAATAATGAACACATAATTTTTAAAATCTCATTACTATCTTATAAGATGTTAACAAAATCAGAACAATATTTATTTACATAGTTTCTTTTTTTTCTTAAAAAAAACACATTCATAAAAAAAAAAGAAAAAAAAAATCACAGTCACAAGATGGGATTCGAACTCATATACCATTTATTGACAAAACGGAACATCAAACCAACACGCCTTTTTTATTGAACACAATAAATTAAAATTTATATATTAGCTTAATCGATTTTGGAATTTAGATTTGGGCCAAGTTATTCGAGAGAAAAAGTTATGGCTCACGACTTTTCTAATCTCAATAACAATAACAGAAGTTTTCCATTTTTAAAACAATTAATATCAATTTTAATGATTAAAAATTAGCTAATTTAACTAATCAAATTATAACAATTAGTAACCAATCAAATTATCAGAATTTCATTAATCAAAACGACAATATAATCTTTGCATTAAACCAAATCGTAAATCACTTCACAAATACTATAATATATATAAAAAAAAAAGAATTTTCTATTATCACATCGTTTATCAGTGAAAAAGCCCTAACATTTTATGCTGACGTAAGTAAGGTGCAAGGAAATTTTCCCCCTCTATTTCGCTTGACGTAAACGACATGGCAAACACTTCGTTGTCCTGAAAGGTCTTAAATATTTACGACCATTCAAAGCCTCAGCCAAACTTTTTTTTTTCACAATGAGCCAAATTAAACACTTTGATAATTTTTTTGGTTAACTGAAAGGTCTTGGTTTTCCATGAAAGTATTACGGTGCTTCCTCTGAAATGCATAACTTTGGACATATACAACACGTCAACTTCAAACTTAGTTACTATATTGCATGTTGAAGAAAAAAAACCTTATATTAACGACCTTACATTATCAAAATTCTCTATTCTGACAAAAAAAAATAAAAAAACTATTAAAATCATCTGTATACTCGTATTCTAATCAACTAACTCCGATGTACCAATTAAATTGAACAATATAATTGTATAGAACAGATGATGCTTATATTTCAATATTGGCAATGATAAATATTGGGATATATATGAATCCCTTAGTATTAGGATTATTTTATATTTTGTAAATAAGGATTTTGTCCCACATCAGTTGTAAAAAAAGTTTGAGTGGAGAATGTGATGTATAAATACCTTGTAAATGTCATTCAATATAATCAAGTTAGTTCAGTATCCAAATTCTACATGGTATCAGAGCTTATAGTCTATATCTTCCGCAAAATAATATTTTGCCAGTTTGTTCAATGTTTGAACGAATAGTTTGTTATTATGTATGGAGAGAAAGCAGCTGCACGATCTGGTGAGATTGCAACTGTGGAGACAGTGTCTCCTTCTCTGTATGTGTTGTATGAATCGGATTATCCCGGTTTGATGATCATTCCGGCCATGTTGAAGGAGAGAATTACAATCTGTGGGCTAACGAGATGCTTAATGCACTTCAAGCCAAGCGTAATATGGGTTTCATTAACAGAACCTTGAAAAAACCAGAAAGTGGATTGCAGCAAATTCCATGATCGTCGGTTAGATAAAGGCATCAATGAACCAAAGGTGAAAACTACCGTAATCTTTGTTTCCGAAGCATGTCAGCTTTGGGAAAACTTGAAGCATATTTCTCGGTGGAAAACGAAGTTCGTGTTCATCAGCTCAAAGCGCAGCTTGCAGGGTGTCATCAACAGGGACAGTCGGTGTTCGATTATTACGGCAAGTTGACCACGCTTTGGGATGAGCTGATGGTTTATCAACCTTTGTCATTGTGTACTTATGGAGCAGCGAAGACAATTGTGAAAGAAAGAGAGACAACGAGAAAGTTCACCAGTTCCTTATGGGCCTTGATGACTCGCGGTATGGATATCTGTGCTCCTCACTCATTGGACAAGTGATGCTGCTAGGGTTGACTTCGCGGCTTCAAGTTTTAAATTTATAACCCTAGATATCTGCAAGTGCACAGCAGTGGGTTGTAGTACTTAGGGTGTCGATCCACATAGAATCCACGCTTTACCTGCAAAACCTTAGAACCAGAATTAGTAAACGAAGTCTAAGACGAAAAACGGGTTTTGGATAGGTTGTGCGATTTCTATATATGTATTTCAAAAAGGGATTTGAAAACGGATTGAAAAGGGTTTTAAAAAGGGTTTTTGAAAACCATAAGTGAATAAATCGATAATAAATCTAAAGGATGAACAAAGCTCTTAATATTGACCCTAGTAAATTCTTAGAACTCGAGTCACGGACGTATGACTACGCCACTGTCGTGATCATAACCAACTATCTCTCGCAACCCTGACCAGTAGGTTTCCACTCTGGCCTTGGAAGGGAAAAGATGCATTATGTTTAAGACTCGTCAACATTCACAACTCTCCCATAGGTAGGTTTCCACTCATATGGTCGATCTGCTCTTCTCAAACTAGATCCAGCCCCAGATGAATACTTTCGCAACACCAAGGACCTAGATCAGTCTCTAGTTCGCGACGCTAGATCCATGCTTTAAGTAATAGTTTAGAAGAAAATTTTCTAGAATTCGGCTTTGGTTTATCTCGCGAAGAATCCTTATCGAACATAGTCGATTCCCTTCGATCGAGCCTTTAAACTCATACCTCATCATTCCAAAACGTGCATAAAGTAAATAGAAAAGACGTGCATAGATTAATAAGAAGAAAGAAGTAAAGAAAAACAGACAAGGAGAAGAAGAAGAAGCATCTCGATTTTAAGAGCTGGGCTCAGAGAAGAACTTCTCTTCAAATCCTTTAAACAACTAATCTAATATGAAGAAGATAAAAACGAAATTGAAAAATGCATAAGAGTAAAAACCGAATTAAAATAAAGGTAGAACATAAAGAGGGTTCAAGAGAAATCTCTATCTCCCTAAACTAAGAACTAAGAACATAAAAGCATAAAAACCCTAGAAAACTAAATTTGGTGGCTCCCAAAAGGGATTCTTATGAGGCACACGAAAATAGGTCTCCAAAGATACATATTTATAGGTCTCCAACTCTCTCCAGTCGTCCTTAGGGTTTTCTATGAAGAGAAGATGAATTGGGCTTGAAACACGGTCATGGGCCAGCTTTTTAGTCGGCACTGGTCGCGAGGCTTCTGACCGCGGTGAATTGGGGTTTGGCCGCGGCCAGAGAGTCGTAACCGCGGTCAAGAGTGTGTTCCCCGTGGTCGTGGCTCCTGGACCCGCGGGGATTGGTCTTTAAGGTTGAATCTTCATTCTGTGCTTGCTTCCTTCGCGAGACTGCAGAACATGTCTTCAGTTCATCAAGGATATCCGGAGATCTAACCATTAGATTGCCTCCAAACCAATTGCATTTGAAAGCTAGTTGTATCCGTTATAATCAGTCCCATTTTGGGGATGATCTGACGGTGATAAAGTCTTCATCGGATGTAAAACTTCGGGCGGCCTGAATTTATCCAAAATGCACACCTTTTGCCTTAATTACCTGAAAAGAGTTTTGAAATTACAAATACTAGAAAATAATAGAAAAAAAAACTTAAAATAAATAAAAAGCATTTGAAAAGCATTTAAAATCGATCGATAAAAGTGGTCAAAATATGGTGTTATCAACAAGATCCACTAATGTCGATTGAAGAGGTCTACTCCAAAATCATGAGAGAAGAACAGTGTTTGGGTGGCGTTCGTGCTCGGGAACAGCAGCAGGATGC